AGTGGTGCACGGCTGATTGGTGGATATCCGGAGAGATCCAAGGCGTTCGATTCAGGGCTTATTGGTGCACAAAATTGGTGGCGCACGGCTGCGCTCCCATATCGACTTTGGATTTGGGGCGTAGTGACTTTGAGAAAAAAAGGTGGAAGCGACATTAAAGGAGAGGCTAGACCGCTAGACGCTAGATGGTTTTGAAAGTTTGTATTAAGGACGAGATGAGAACAAGGGGAAGAGACAATCAAGAGGGAATTCATTTGGTTTATTTTTGCTACATCCCAATTATTGCTCTGTATAGTTCACGTTTATATAAGCTATGGGGGTATGGGGCCTCTTAGGCCCTGAATGACTGTTAGTGTTATATTAAATTATTTTGGTTTGGTTATTCTAACTTTATTAATTTTTTCTTACACCCCCACCAACGGCCTCCACTCTTGCCAACCGCTTCCTGTCCCTCACCATCCAGGCATCCACGCACTCTCCAAAAATCGCTTTCCACTCTCAGTCATAGCAGCAGTCACCCCCGGTGTGTCATTGACGTTAGCCTCGTGCGTTCCAATAGCAACAGTTACTGAGAGGTTCACAGAGTTCATCACGTCGCGTATCACCCAATCAAGCGCATTCCTGAAGTGTTAACCGGCATGGTTATCCCAACTGTAGACAACACTTAGTCCAAAAATGACAAGTTCAGCTTTTTTTTAGAGTACCCTCTAGCAGCTATGTTTTGGCACAGAAGACGAATTTACATTTGCCTTTCTAGGTCTCATTAAAGTGGCTACACAGCACTGCGTAAAAAAACTTTTTCTTTAAAATCCAATGGAAAATATTGAGCTTGGAATGAATAATGATGCACTTGTGTCAGATTTAAGTTTGTTTGAGGCAACGTTTTTCTTACTTATAAATGTTTGTATTCTACGAGATATTTTTTCGATTGATGTTATTGACTACGATTGGCCGGACGTAAACATAGTTTAAACATTTATTGTGGACTAACATGAGACTAGCTGTGAACTCGGCCTGAAAAACATCGAATCGTCATTTTCCAGCCTACAAGGAAAATATAATGAATGCATTTTTCGAATAATTCCTCCAGGCACTGATTAGATTTTTAAAGCTATGTCATACTACCAATTAAAGGAAGACTCGCTCAGACCACCATCTATCCTAAAGTTTTGAAATGAAGAATTAAATTCGATATTTTATTTAGAATTGCTACGTTTTGATATGTAAAAAGTCGATTCAATTTTCATCGTTTAATGCAATTCATTTCATGAAAGGCCTCATGATTTTACACCAACATATGAAATGTCCAATTTATATAATATCCAGGGTATCGGGGTTGGAAGCATCTACGATGACGTATCAACAACTATCGAATCAGTTACCCTTTGATACAAGCTATCATTTTTAGTGATATACATAATCATGGGAAAAAGCATGAACGGAAAATTTAACAACCATTACGTGATATTTTATAAATGTGCTATGGTTCCGAAACTTGTTTATCGGATCTTTTCTGTATAGACGGTTATTAGCGCAGTCTCTGGTCTAATAATTTTATGCGTTAATCAATTTTCTTCTCTCATTTTACTGCGAGACTGAACGGTTCAAGTGAAAGTGATAGTCAGATTTTCAAAGCGAGTATCCTATTTTCGATCGTAAAGGGGGTCAGTATGGATATTCATGTTGATTGAGATATATCTCACTCCATTGTGACTCCGATGACGTCAATATTTTTATAGAAATGTCTCCTGTAACTCGTTTTTTTTTGCCTCATTTTTAAACTAGAAAAAAATCGATAATAGTATATGAAAATTGCAGCGTATATAAAGACTCAGCACTTGAGAAATATTACAATGCAATAGGAATAGCGGTCTAATGACTTTACATGAAAATCTCTTCACCTTCGTCGCCGCTGAGCACACCATCAAACTCGTCTTCGTCTGAAGAATCAAAGTCAACTTGAAACATCCCGTCTTTCCGTGGAATGTCGTCTAGCTTGGAGCTTAGGAATCCTGTGAAACCTCTGTCACTTACCTTACTTTTACTAGCCGCTTTGGAGGTACTCTTATTCGCAAACATTGCCGGCGATGAACCCTCTCCGGGCAAACATTTAGAGGCCGGTAATACTTCAGACACATTTTGGGGCTGCTCCTCGGAAACTAACTCGCTGGTGCTAGTCACACTTACGGTTGATTTAGTAGACTGTCCTGTTGTTAAGGCCAGAAACTTATTAGAAGTAATAATGGGTTTGGGAGAATACTCTGAAGGCATCTTTAGTGAAGGAACTTTGCTCCGAACAAACTGAGCGCGCTGCACAGCAGACAATTCACGGGGTTCGTTTGTGCCAGGGCCATATGACGTCACCTCGATGTTTTTGATGATCGTCTTTGGCATCGCAGTGCCTGACTTTCTCTTATCACTGAGTTGTATGACACGCTTGCTCTTTGTGGGGCTCAATACACTCGTATGTGTGTGTTTCTGCAACCGTTGGTCTAGTAACTCAACTGCACGACTCTTTATGCTGCCGTCATCTACATACTCAACAGTACGGCTGAAGGGCTCAATCCTGTACCTCTGATTCGTTCTTGCCCCGATCTTGACAGGCAAAGGCGCAGGCTTAATTTGAGCGACTTCAAGCTGGCGTCCATCAGCCGACAATGTGACGCACCGTTCAGCAGCGCTGGTCTCATCCATGTACGTCACCTCGTCATCCTGCGCGTCCTCGAGACGTGGCTCGTAAGACGAGTCGTCAACAAAGGTCATCTCGACCGTGGCATCGTCCGTCGTGACTTCGTACGAACCATCAACGCCTGCAAAGAACCAGCGCCACTCAGGTTTCACTTTAAAATAAAACTTAGCCAACACATGGCATCCTAAATGGCTCACAAAGCAAAGCCTCCTATGGGCAAGGCTAGTCCACTATGGCCAAGGCTAAGTCCCTCGTGGGCAAGACAAAACCTTCAATGGGTAAAACAAAGCCTTCTCTGGGCAGGACAAAGTATCCCATGAGCAAAACAATGCTTCCAATTGGGCAGACAAGGCAGCATGTAGGCATCACAACTCAAAACTTCACTGATATAACGACATCGTAACGCACCTTCGTGGTCCCCAGCAGACGGCAGAAGGGAGTAGGAGGCACCCGCAGCGCCGAAATTGTAGGCATCCCCAGGCGACATGAACTGCGTCATCACGTGATCAGCTGCTGTCACACGATCGTCTGCGTTACAAGACAAGCAAGTACATCACAACAAAATTTATGCTTTCATGTGAACATATGACAGTTGGTTATTTATTTCTATTTGAAAGCTTGAACAACCATTTCATTAAAGCTTGTGCTGTGTTGTGGGTAGACAACACAACGATACATTGTCTACATCACGCACATCACTACGTCGTTAGGGCATTTTTACTATAATTATATGCATAACAACTATCAGTAGGATATTATAGTGCTCATCGGAGCTACATTAGTGCCTTGTTCGTGGATATCACTGCATACTGCTGACGTATTCTTATGAATTACTTCACTACAAAACTTGTAGTGCAAAGGCTTCGTGAAAGCCTTTCTAGCGAGGCATTATTCATTGAATAAAACACATAGAGCGGACGTTATCAGTGAAAGACAATCGTTACGACGATAAAAATAACAACGATAAATTATCAAATGCTCGATTTGATAATTTTACTTTCCTTCATGATTCTTTTACAAATTTTCTTGCAATACATCATGAGATCAGAGTACCTTACTTTAAAGTGTTGAAGAACATTTATAAGTATGACTGTACCAGTTGTAACGTAGCCGTCCGTAACCACAGAGTTCTCCACCGTATGCTCAACCCCAGCAATGTCCACAACGACAACGTTGCCGGAATTAGCATCCGACGACGTTGTCGTTGCAACGACCTCCTGCATGGCAGCAACTGGAGCAGCAACATCCTCCATACCAGACGTTATATCCATAATGCCGGACACGTTTGATGTGAGATCATGCATTTCATGAAGTTCGCCGGCCCCATCCAAGATAACCGTTGGTCCTGCAGCAACGACTGCGTGAGTTGCAACATCTGGAATATCGTCATCATCCACTGTTAGCACTTTGGCGTGATCGATGACGTCTTCCGTTAGGAACTCTGGCGTGTACTTGAGGTGGTGTCGGCGACGCTTGGGAGTGTATTTCCTGCTAGGGACCTCCCCTGGGGCGGGACCAAGCTTGGGTTTAAGAGGCGGCGTAATAGGCTGCATACGGAAGACTTTTTCGTAAGGCGTCTTGCCCGTCCGGACATCTAGAATCGTCGAGTTCAGCAGAACTGAAAACACAAAGCCATTACAATCGAACAGAACCGTGCAAAATAAAAAATTACAAGCTTGCAGCAACAAATCAAAACTTTGAAATAAACGTAGCTAAATCTAATTGTTATCAGTATCAGGTTGCTAAATCTTGAAATCTATCAGCGATTGGCTGACGGAGTTATGAACCTGTAACTATTTTTGATGGTATGGCTCCAGGAATCAGGCACTCATTATTATTCCTCATATACATGATGAACAAGACAAGTTAAATAAATGACAGTTATGTATCATCATCACCAAGAAACTGGTATCATAAATTCAAAGTGACGTCACCCAAGAGCTCAATATCAACACATGTTATAAGAAAATTGACGCAGAAAAAATAAATCAAATGCAAAGTCCCTAAGTCTCTCTTCAAAAATACTGAAGCATAAACTACAAGAAATGTCCTGCTGCTTGTAAAGTCAATAATTAAACAACGAATGTTTTCTATACATGCTTCAGGTTCCTTTTGATTCATAAACTCGCAGTGTTTTCAGGCAACCACTCAGACCACTTGTATCAGGTTCCCTTATATTCATAAACTCACACTGTATTTCAGGCAACCACTCAGACCACTTGAGTCTAGAGTCGCCAGCCGCCGCCTTCTGAGCCGCCATGTGCTCAATGAAGCGCGTGACGTTGCGTGTGTTGCGTCTCGACACGTCGCCCTTGTAGGAGCTCCCCTCCAGGTAGTTCTTGATCTGCAACTCGTCCGGCCATAAGCGAGTCACCTAGAATGGCAAAATTTTCCATTACCTAGTTTATACTTACTTGCATATATGTTATTATGGCCGCAATATTATATATTATTATGATGGCAATAAGGGAACCAAATCATAAAAGCCCTGTGCAATTAGAATACAAACTCATCACACTATAACAGAAATAAGGAAGGAAAAAAGGACAGACCTCTTCTATTACAGCGCTTGCAAACTCCTTGCCGTAGTCTGAAACAAGCTCGGATGGGAAGCCAAATAGGGAAAAAATTCCCCAGACAAGATTTTGCGCAACCTCTGCAGGATCAATTGCTGCCAGAGGAAAGAGCCAGTGGAAACCGGTGATGTGATCCATGCAGTGGAGTATGTAGCGGTAACTACCATCTGGGTTATCCTTCAAATCCAGCACATCCACCTAGGACATAAAACTACGGTATATTTAAACATCAAACTGTTGATGTTAACCAAATATGTTACAAGTGGGCACACAAAATATGGCTGAGAATCTCAGAATTCAAAACTAACAACCCAAGGATGATTAGTTGATAGTAAATTTTTCTATATTTAACACGTTGACTCCGAAGTGGTACATATGTGTACCACAAAATGTATTTCTCCAGGACGTAGTGGTACATAATTCAGGTTGCCTAAAATCGGCCACATCCGAGAACAAAAAAGGTCAAAAAAGGCTGATAACTCAATATATGCTAGTTTATTTGTAGGTTCCACTTTAAAAATTCCCATTATTTTCTTTTTGCAGTACTTAAATTTTAATTCGGAAGCACCCCTATCATAAATTTTAGCCGGCCAACACAATTGTGAAAAACTAAATCATGGAATTTTTCCAGAAAAAATGACCGTCTGGCAACCCTGTTTAAAAACGGTACAAAAAATGAAATAATAGTACAAGATGAAGGGATCGGAGTCAAAGTGTTAATAGTAAAATATTGGCATATTGTAAGATTCAGCATGTACGGCAACATCCCAGAAATCATCTTGCACTAGAAAAATATTTCTAACAGAAATGCTAGTGTATTCACGCTATGGCTAATGCTTTTGCAATTGTGAACCTGGAACTGATCCATGAGCTTGCGGCGGCGACGAGCCTTGATCATGCAGCGGCGGGATGGCGTGTATGGCAGTCCTGAGCTGTTGCCCGAGGCTCCATTGTTGGAGCAAACAGGGCACAATAGAATGAACTTGTGCACCAGGTATCGCGGGATGTTGGAAATAACACTTCGTACCTGAAAAATATTAGTTATTCTTAAAACATCAATCTGGAAAAAATATTTCTTACACTTCAAACAGGTTCACTGGATTATCATTGGACTGGTGGAGTTAAGTTCTTTGGTTTCTGGCATCATATAGCTTCTAAAATTCAAACTATCTTCTTGTAACAAAATATATTCTTCTTGTAAAATCCTTGTCATATTAGTTCTAACCTATTACCAAATATACAATTGTTTAAGTTAATTTATTTCAATTCAAGAGGATCACCCATTTATTTCAAATGAGATTTAACATTTTTTTGTGTGCTTTTGATTGAATTGCTCAATAAAAAGGATAAGAAAATGAAATTGTGGTTTACTAGTAATTAAGCTATGCATGTTTTCCCTCAAAAATACCTAATTTAGAATAGGAAACTCAAGCATTTAATCTAGAAATAATTTTTTAAAAGCTTTGTTAAAAAAAAGTGGCAAAATTAAAATTGAGTAGAATTATCAATTAGCCTCAAAATTGTTACCAAATGTGCAGTCTCTCTAAGAGTGCTATGGTTATGCTTCAAATGAATCTTGAGGAGAGTGTCAAATATGTCCTCTCTTGGCACCACTCGCAGGTAGCGAGGCAGCTCAGATCCACTTGACTCGCCAAGAGCAACCTGGGGCAGTTATATTTGCATTATGGCACATAATGTTTCGAACAATTGTGGTAAAACTAATATAATAAAATTCAATCAATAATGTGTACAAATGAAGCAAATTCATCAGTATGTTAATATTGGCTACTTTCAAGAAGAAAAATCGAAGAATATGAATGAGATTGCATGGTAGTTATGTAAAATTTGTGTAAAAAGCACTCTGGTCAAGAACTAATTAAGATTATGTCAATGTACCATAGTTTGAACATGAAGAGCTACACATATTTTTATAATGTTGATTGTATAATCAAAAATGAAAACTTGCCACTTTCTCTTTGGTTGGTTCCATAAGAACATCAGCAAGACCAAGTGATGGTTTGTTGAATACTTTGAACTTCCGGGACTCAATCCATGATTTCATTTTCCCAGGAGGGAAAATTGACCTTCCCTGTAAAGAAATTAAATAATTACAGATAAAATGTTTGTATCAAACAAACTAAATTGTAATGACATACATAAAATTTTTAAAAATGTATACAATTCAAGTATTTGGTGATTGGTTACTTGTTTAGACAATATAGGTAAGAACTGGGAAAACATGGCATGGGTGGCCAACGTTGAGGTGACTGTGAGTGCCTGGATGACTTTTGAACTTCAGTCAGATGGCTTGATGGAAAGCTCGAAAAAATTAAACAGGATGATTTCTTAACCTAAACAGCTCAACTTTGCAGTCTGAGGCATGGAAAAATCTACTTTCCAAGCCAAAAGTAACAGTTAATTCACTTCACAAGACCCCAAAGTTATCAAAAATATGTAAACTTGAGACTTAAAAGATTTTAGTATTAAGTAGGACTTTTTCAATCTTGTACAAACTGGAACAGGAGGAATGGCAAAACTTTGGTTTATATTCTGACCCAAATTTGATAAAGATAATAAATTGCAGTAACTCATTTTTTGTACTACACACGGTAGTTATTTAGCATTTTTCAATTTTAATCTGCAAGGTCCAATTATGAATATTGGGCAGAATTTTCCAAAAAATTATGTGCATAAACTATGGTTTCAAAGGTAATCATCATAAATCACATGTAAAAATGCTAGCCTGGAAAGAATCTGCTGCAAAATCCTGATTTTGAATATCAGACAAAAGTTTCCTAAAATTGCAGGCATAAGCAATCATTTTACCAATATTAAAAATATTGCAGGTAATAACAGGTAATTTTTCATATCTTTTACAGAAGAAATTGGTAGAAGGTCATAGGAATGGGTGAAATTGGTAGAAGGTCATAGGAATGGGTGAAATTGGCCAAATTCATGGGCATTTTTGTCCAATTCACCAGTGACTTCTGCCCAATTTTCCATTTTGGGTTCAAGCCATAATAAGAGCTTTCCCACCAATTTTTGAACCTCAAGATTCTTGCTAGATGCCTAGATAATTCTAAACACAAGAGCGCAATTGGGCCAAAGTTGCAAGATTCATAATGTATGAAAAATTTGTAATGTTGAAGCCATGAAATTTCAGTAACAAGTAGGAAAATTGTAATGCTGCAAAAATATACCATTTTCCTTATTTCCTTGCAAATAGATTAGGCTAAGGACATAAAAATGGGTGGAACTGACTTCAAGGACTGGATTTTTATCGTCATCCATGCCATTGCCCATGCTGAATGGGCCAGGGTACAGAAAGTTTGTGAATATCAAAAGATCTTTGGTGATACATTAGCAGCAAATTTTATGCCAGCGAAGATCTTGCAGACACATTTGGATTGAAATTATTGCATTTCAGAAATTACTTTGAAATCATTGCAATTACTGCAAATCTGAAAGACTGCAAGCACACATAGTAAGGTTTCCGGTACGCCAGATGGATCAGGATGCAGTGAAGCTTGTCTGGAAATCAGTTGCAATGTGTGTAAGTGTTGCAGTGCGTGGAGAGTAAGCCTCAGTAAGGGATATACTATCAAAGTTGCTCTGCAAAATTTATGCCTTCTGAAGATCTCATTTGCAATAATCTTGAAATTATTGCAAATGAGAAATAACTTCAAAGTTGCTTGCAGCACTTTCTTATTAAAAATTACCTGTCAATGGATCTTGAAAATGGCTGGCAATGCTTCACTCTTATGGCTAAAAAAAACATATCTTGGCAACAGGCAACGCTGCTTGCACCCTCTGCATGCTGGCCCATGGGTAGCTCTGGCTCTATTTTTCAAAAATGGCTTAAGTGGCATACATAGAAGTTACATAACACCTAGTAGTGGTAATTCTAGATGGAATTTTCCTACTCATCAATAAAATATAGTGCCTCCAAAGCAGTGTGGGATTCTGTATAGGTAATATATTCTCATGTTAACATGAGAAAATGTATCAAAAAACCTACCCTACCACGTTACACTAGTACCTTCCACTGCAGTGAAAATTGATAAACTGAGCTCATTAGAAACTGTTGCGCTTCCGAAATTGTGCATGGTTTGACATCCAATCAATGGATGTCAAGTGTTGGCAATGCCTCAATCAAGTTAACTAGTCATTTATCTGTAGGGTAGTTGACAAATTTTTGCAAAGAATATGTTCTAAAATAAATAAAAAAAATTCCACATTTGCAAAAAATTATCACGATTGGACAATACCAATAAAGTTTTCCATATCATATAAAATTATGAAGGTAAACTGTCACCCTTTCACTGCGTACATTCACATCGTGCTTCTACGTTTACGTATGACAAGGCGGAATCACACACTTTTGTTTTGGTTGTGTCTAGTTCAATTTCACAATAAATAGATTTGATCCACATTCCATACTGAGATTTAAATGACTGAAAGTTTTTAAAAATTATAAAAACCCATTTATACATTTCAGATTTGAATTTTATCCATTATTTGCCCTATTATGTTAAACTTATCTTAATAAATTCACTTGAAATTCTGAATGATTCCGTTTGCCATTGTGAGTTTTCGAATGTTTTGTGCCTTTTAGAAAATGTTTGTTGTCTAAAATGGGAAACTATTTCACTATATAAAACATAGAGCATATTTGCAAAAAATTATCACGATTGGACAATACCAATAAAGTTTTCCATATCATACAAAATTATGAAGGTAAACTGTCACCCTTTCACTGCCTACTTTCACATCGTGCTTCTACGTTTACGTATGACAAGGCGGAGTCACACACTTTTGTTTTGGTTGTGTCTAGTTCAATTTCACAATAAATAGATTTGATCCACATTCCATACTGAGATTTAAATGATTGAAAGTTTTTAAATTATAAAAACCCATTTATACATTTCAGATTTGAATTTTATCCATTATTTGCCCTATTATGTTGAACTTATCTTAATAAATTCACTTGAAATTCTGAATGATTCCGTTTGCCATTGTGAGTTTTCGAATGTTTTGTGCCTTTTAGAAAATGTTTGTTGTCTAAAATGGGAAACTATTTCACTATATAAAACATAGAGCATGTACCAGTTAGTTAGTTAGTTTAGTGGCCAAATGTTTACTAGCGCTTCAGCTATTAAGCTATCTCGCACCGAAAGTCAAGATGAACATCACCATAGAGGTGGAAGGTCTCAATTATTCATCACCCACAAGGGGCGGAAGGTCTCAGTTGTCCAGCCCGCTGAAGCTGGCTCGAAAGAAGCAGCGTAAGCATCTCAAGGAGACGAAGTGACAAGGAGGGACAGGTGAAAAGCAACAGAAACGAAGACACTCAAACAAGAGGTCGCTTACACGGGACGTCGGCCGCCCGCATGAGAGAGACAGAGAAGGGAAATGCAAGGAATCCTGCCTACATAATAACTTAACCCCACAACTGAGACCTGCAATCAGACACCGCGAGCTCAAAGGTGGGGCGCTCAGGAACAATCCCCCTAGGAGCGCAAAATCCCATAGGACTTCTGACGGGTACAGACACCCGTCAGAAGTCCCCCCTGAGGGGGAGCATGTACCATATAGTGCATTAATAATACAATTTAATTTATTAAAAAATAATTTTTAATTTAAAAAATAGAATCAGATTTTTAATTCAACATTTTTCTAATAGAATTTAATTCAACGTATGTACCATCTAGTGTAGGTATTAAATAATAAAATTTAATTGAATAAAATTTAATTTTAATTAATTTTTAATTTAATTTAATTCTACAGCTTCAACCGGTAAAAATGAGCATCATAGGAATGAAAGTAAAACTGTCGTTCATACATCAAACATTGAACAACATTGGATGGATTTGATAGGTATTTTATTAATCCTGTTTATATATAAGAATGGAAATGATGCTTCTATTTCAGAATGATAATGGAAATGTCCCTACTATTTCAGAACTAAAGTTGTGTAATCAATGGAGTCTTTGAAATGACAAAATTGTTCAATATAAAATTTTTAGCTATATGAGTGAGATTGTCATTTGTCAATCATCATAGGAGCTGTAAGAAAAAATTTGTGGTTTTCGATGTAAAAGAATGTTTTTCAATTAAAAGAAATGCAATACTTGATTTTTGGAAATACGATGCTGAAATTAATGATCCGTATTAGAATTAAATAGACGCTATGCTTTCAGAATTATTTTCAAAAAGTTCGTTTTCCTTCGTTTGATCAGAAACAACATAATTAATCATTATCTTGCACTAAATATACGAAAGATTAGTCAGACTTGGTTACCATCCGCAATGATCATCCCGCTAGATCATCACTGGGAGCAGGAGGCGGGAATGAAGCTAGGTATTTAATTCAGTTGAACGCTGGCCCACGTGATATGTAATTCTGCTCGTCTGAACTGCATGTTTAGTGTGCATGATGGAAAACTCTGCTTTGCAGCATAGTTATAATTACTCAATGAAGTTTAGTTCATTGTGGTCAACTTAAGAGACAAATTTTCAACTAACTAATACTTTTTATAAGTCTAATTTTAATTGCTGAGTAAAAGGTGCAGGCATACAACTTCCAAGTGATTAGGTACTTTATAGAAACTGAGCAAGTTAGTGTACATGTTTTAAGCATTTAAGAAGTTCATTTTTTGCCTCAAATACCTAACTATATTGGGTCAAAAAAGTGGTCTTGGTGGATTAAATAATATTTGAACCTTCAAAATTAGCATTCCATCCTGCTCCAAAGCCCAAAGTGACAAATTTGCAANGGCCATACTAGCTGTAGCTGGTGACATCGGCTGACTGGACAGACTTTGATTTGCATCCAGCTCAATCACAGAATCAGATTCATCGATCTTGCCTTAAACAATATCCTTCAACAAAAAGTTTGGAAAGAAATATCAACAACATTTCAAAATACAACAAAATTTAAGTTGGAAAAGATATAATAGTTTGATCTTCAAAAAAGAACTCTAAATATCCATGTGTATCCTTTCTAAATAATGTTAAACAAGCCCAAGTGTTTGAAAACAATTCAGGAAACTGCGCAATTGTGAAGATTTCCTGGAGGCATAGCACAAAATTTTACTAAAGGCAGAGATAATATCTAATACTAGCTTTAGTATTATTAGGAATATCTTACCAGGACTCCACTCCACTGTCTACTAATTGGCCGACTAATCTAGACACGGCGTCCCTACTCGCCTAAGTGGAAAAAACGCGACATCAGATGGATTAGTTCGCCTGTTAATGAATTCCATAGAGGGCTTAGGCTGCGAAAAATTGGCACTAATTCCGCAAGATGCACAAAATTGATAATGAATTCAAGAGGAATTCCGCAGTGCAATCAGCAAAGCAAAATCCACGCAAAGTTCAAAGCCAAGAAGAAAATACGGAAGCCAGACGCGCGATCAAACGGAAGCTACTGGACCAGGAGCAACGCTCATGTTTGTCAACCCACTCAACCGTCGTGTTGCTCGAGAAGCAAATATGACGTGAACGCAATCGTGAACGCGATGTACGAATACCACCCTTCGGCTTACCAACACCAAGTACGAGAGTAATGAGACAACTAAGCAAGTCAGCAACCTTGCAGTTGATATCCTGACTTGCTAATGTGTGGGTATGCACTGTGCAGTGTACTCTATTAGTATCACTGTTGTTGGGTTGCCTTCATGATATAACACATCTTTGAATTGTTCGAGCACCGTAACCAATGGTGGGTTGAACTGGNTGTAAATAAGTTCGTGGCTTGTAAATAGTTTGTCATTACTCAGCGTAAATGGCTTTTTATTAAAAATTACCCGGCGACGCATCTTTAAAATGGCCGGCGACGCTTTGGGCTTAAAAATCCATATATTGGCAACGCTGCACCTGCATCCACCCTCTGCATAGTGGGAATATACTGCGTTTACCCTATTTAAAACATTTCTTAGCTTATTACCTAACACCTATCATAACCAATTTAATTCAATACACTAGAAAGCACTAAGATACTAAATCAATCTTACATAGCCCACCTTTAAATGTTGAATAATTTGGTCAATTTTATGACGAGGCATAATAAGTCTAGACCAATGACTGTGGGGAGAATCGTGGCTTTCATGCAAGCGCACCAATTCTTTTTCAAATTCATTTTTAAAAAGTTTTATTTCATTTTCTGTCAGGGACTCCATTTCTTTTATTGCTAGAGTTACAAACAAGCTGCGAATAATGAGTTAATTTCGGTTAAAAGAAGTCAAATATTTTAACGATTCCGGGAGCTCTAGAATACGTTAGGACTCAGTCACTCAGCTCCCAAACAAACATCAACTATTCAACATAAACTGACAACGTAAGAGATGTTTGTTCTCGACATCACCACGTACGTACAAATATAATTGATACTAACGTACGTGCATGAGAAGATCAACAGACTTTGAAGTATTGAAAGGAAAAAAATGCAGATGATGTAGAAATATTCTATTTGATTATTTATTCATTGTAGATAAATGATATCATTTTATTATTTGTAAACTAATAGAGACGAATTTGGAAACGCTCTACGTTCATTGAATCGATATCTAATTGAAGTGTTTGAAATATTGCAAATTTAGCACAGAAAGACAATCAGTACTACAGACAATCAGTATCAGCAATCGGTCTTGTGGCATGACAATCTTTGAGCTACCAGTCATACCTTATCTGCCATGAGAGAATATTCTCAATTCTTCGGTTTGAGAGAAAAATGTTTCTGAAATTGGTGAGCTAAAATTTCAATTTTCATGCACCCAGAAGCACGAATGATTAGTTACATTTCCTTGGAAGAAAAAGAAATTTTTAGAGAGCGGTCTTTAATATTTTCGCTCAAGGTAATTTTTTCGTACTCCTATTCCTAATGGATAAGGTTGCTGGGTTTAAGTATTTTTCATCGGTAAAGTTCAGTAATACTGAAGTGCATCGTTGAGCAAGAATACTGTTAATTGTTCGCTAAGAATTCAGTTCAGTAAGGATGAAGTGCATATTTCAATAAAGATTCAGTTTTTCTTCCAGTAATAATGCAGTTCTTTGTTCATTCAGAATGTTAATCATCTCTCAGTGAGAATATAGTTTATTGTTCAGTGAGAAAAACTGCAAAAATTTTTGTACGCCTGCGTCTGAATAGGTTGATGCGGCCGCCTTAGGTCAAGGATCACACAATAAATAAAATCGTTCAAAGTTCACGGCTGTATTAGAGCAATTGAAACTGTGAAAAACGAAGGATCTTAACAAGTATTTACAAAAAATTCCCTTATATACACAAACATGAACGTGAATTAATAAAGTAAAAGGTAATGATAGTTTTAATTACTTTATGAAAAACATATGTTGTGAAGGAAATACAAACGAGACGCTGGCGACTTTGGTGTTGTGGGGTGAGGGTGGTAGGGTGAGGGTGGTAGGGTGAGGGTGGTAGGGTGAGGGTGGTAGGGTGAGGGTGGTAGGGTGAGGGTGGTAGTCTCTATTAACATTACATACGAGAGACATTGATATAATCAAAGGCAGCATAATAAGAACATTCTTATTGAAACTCGCAAATCGTCATGATTCAGACTACATAAAATTATTGATGATAAAATGAATATCTGTAGCATAATAAAATATTAATCTTATGTAAACTTTTCCTGGATATTTAAAGATTTAAAGCACTTAGAATTATTCATTTATTTGCAGTCAGCTAAAGATGAAGCTGTGATGCAATGAAGCTGTGAATACAATGAAGCAGTGCATACAATGAAGCAATGAAATGCGGAGTCTTTACGCTGAGTCTTTACGCTAATATCGCTGAGTCTTTACGTAAGTGGATTTGGGCCAAATATTCATTACTTCCGTTAATTGTGAACTCAATTCCAAGCCTAATATCCACTAATTTATGACATAATTTCAGCCTAATATCCATCACGCTCACTAATTGCCATCGCAATTCTAGGACTAATATCGAGGCAATGCAATACACGAGTTTTTAACTACGACGCCTACGTATGCACCGTACATAGAAAAAATACTTTAAAATATTGACATGATGTCTTGTAAAAAAGGGATTTCTGAGTTGTAACTGTGCGAGGGAGCATATCAGGGAGGCGTTTGGTTGGGGCCTCGTACGAGAGGTCCCAGAGGCCCAACGTGGGACTCGTGTGCCCCACTGGAGAGGTCCCAGAGGCCCAAAGTGGGACTCGTGCGCCCCACTGGAGANCACGTGCACCTCTCTACGGGGACCACAGAAAGTCTTGACAACTGCAGGTCACTCTCACGTGCACCTCTCTACGGGGACCACAGAAAGTCTTCACAACTGCAGGTCACTCTCACGTGCACCTCTCTACGGGGACCACAGAAAGTCTTCACAACTGCAGGTCACTCTCACGTGCACGTCTCTACGGGGACCACAGAAAGTCTTCACAACTGCAGGTCACTCTCACGTGCACGTCTCTGCGGGGACCACAGAAATTTTTGACAGCTGCAGGTCGCTCTCTACAAGCACTGCATTAGGTCCTGATTGTTTTATAAGATCGTCAACATTATTTTGCTGCTGCACGATGATCGTTCAGTAGGATGGTTTATTCTTATATCAGATTATCTACCAAAGAGCATTCCGTCGTTGGACAGTTTGAATGCTTCAAAGAAAAACATGGCTACGTGGTGTTTTACCGACCCACCAGTCATCTGACGCGAAAATAACGTTGATTGCCCATTGTTTTAACGGAAGCAATGCGTAATAAACGATGATTCAACAAATGTAATTCATAATCAACGTTTTTCAACGAAATGAGATTGTAATCAGAGTTGTTTAAACGAAATTAATATATAATCAACATTGTTACAACGAAATAAGATTGTAATCAGAGTTGTTTCAACAAAATCGACACATAGTCAACATCTTTTAATCGTCTTTTCACAAGATGTCGAGAAGACGCTTGGCATCTATGTGTTTCGGTTATTTATTACCTCGCTTTCATTATATGAATAACACGTGACCAGGAACACGATTGAGTTGTACATGATAATTTGTCACAGACTTTATAGGTCAAATCATTGTTTTTGGTGCAGCTCGAGATCAACGTTATGGCTGAAGCTTGATATTTTTATTACTGCATTAAGACGTGTAATAGTTGGCACAGGGTTCGTTTTAACTTCGCATGTGGTGCTGAGACCGCACACACTTACACACACACACACGGCACCGTAAAACAATAATATATTTTCCTTCATATAAATAATTATTTATTTTCTGCAGAAGGCAAAACGTTAAAGGCTGGAAAGTCGTGAGTCACGAGAGTATCAAACTTTGAATGGTCAATTATCAAAATGGTTTAATAATAAAATAATCATTGGTTACAATAATAAGAAATCGCGGACCACGACTACGGACAGCCATTGGTGGAAAGTTTCAGCACTTTTCTGAAAGAAGTGCGGAAAAATATGTTATTGCATGGCTCAGTAATGGCGATTGAATTAAGAAAGTGAGCATGGAAATATTTAAAAATGACGTGTAATATTCGGTTTAAGAATGCATTGTGAATTTCAATGGACCAAAAATGGGATATAATGATATAAATACCGTGATGAATTACCGAACTATTGGAGGAAGGAAGCATAATCCAAATAACGAGTTGATACAGTAATACTTGGCAGAGTAATTTTCTGGACTAAACCTGCATTGCGATGAGGGTAGCTGAGGAGGGCAAATGAGAGTAGCGGCTGAAGGGAAATGACGGTAAATGCTGTGGAAAAGTGAGGTAGCTGCTGAGGAAATGCTATGGGAATATGAGAGTAGCTGATGAGGGCAAATGAGGAAAATGACGGTAAATGCTGTGGGGAAATGAGGGTAACGGCTGGGGAACTATGACGGTAAATGGTGAAAGGAAACGATGAAAATTGCTCAGGGGAAATGAGAGAAGCCAAAGAGGGACAGCTGCCGAGCGTGGCAGGGAAGATATCATAAGCTGGAGCTTGGAGTTCACATTTGCTACCACCATGCAAACAAATTTTTGATCGCCATGAGAGTAGCTGAGGGCAAGACCCTTAAATATCTACCAATCATACACGTCACAACTTGATAGTGTATCGTCACGTCACACGAGCCTCCATGGCCAATCCTTCATACCGACCATCACACGCGCAAATTTCAGGTATTATGATTAAGCACCAACAAATGTGTTATTTTCATGAGAAAATGTACAATCTTTTCACAGAAAAGAAGCAAAATACACACTTGGAAACATGGACTGCAAACAGAGCGTCGTATATTCACATTTTAAATGTATACACCATAAATTAACAGAAAGTTTCCCTGTTTATTATTTGGAGAAGAAGCGGACATTCACTATCAATACGAGATAAATACTAACAGCGAAATCTAAAAATTATCTGAGCAGCAACTTTTCAATAACGAGTGCAAATATTCATAACAAGAAGCAAACATCTTGCAGCATACCCCTCATTAATGTCGCCACAGCGATACTTCATAACGGGGCACGACAGATCCTTATGGAGTGTTGCCACAAGATTTGTTCATTACGGAAGGTTCGGTATTAAAGAAACCGAGACTGCCTATCTATCACTCGGGCAGGATTTTCTTTAGTTTCCCCAGCCAATCACAGTAGAATAAGTTTTTGTTTCCATGAGAAACACTGAAATGCAATAACCCTGACACAGATCGCACTGTCCCTGATTACACTGCTCCGTCAGCATTTCATTTTCATAAGCAATTTTTCTCAGTTATAAGCGCTTATAAAGTGCGAAGAATACCGCTTGTTCATTACCAACACTCAAACTTTAATGAGGTAAATTGTCTACTAAACTGGCAATAAAATTGCTAAATACACGTGGGGGATAAAAGCGTCAATTGCAGCAGACGAAGGCGACTTGTAGCAGCAGACGATGGAGCCTCGCAGCAGCAGACGATGGAGCCTCACAGCAGCAGACGATTGCGCCTTGCAACAGCAGACGATGAGGCCAGAATTGGCCTCTACAATCCCTCTATGATCTTCAAGGACTCGATAATCGCTTCGTCCTGCACAAGAAAAAATATTTAGAAAAAGAACCAATATTAGGATCCAATAGCCTGTCTAACCAGAGTGGAATACCACGGCGGTGCATCAGCGTTGCCGGTGACTGCTACGTCCGTAACGCTAGATGAAGAATAGACTTCTGGTAAACACATGCAAGATATCTTTAAGATATTAACATTTTAGGCACTTACCTTACTCAGATATAAATATAAAGTTATTTCCTCCGTAGATGAATGGTTTCTCGGGTGCAAACAATTAAAATTCAGGTGACATTGTCAAGACATTTTGAGTTTTGGCAACGAAATCTTGCTGCGTGGGAGCCACGAGGTAGGAGTCCCTCAGGAAATTGATGTTGATGTGTTCGAGCGTCGCACTGACTAGCCACAGCAGCACGGCTGACAAACCCAGGGCCAAAATAAAGCAGATCACGCGGGGCCACAGAGACTCATCGAACATGGCAGGGGGTGTCCTTTCCCCACCCATTAAAAGGGTTTGCATTTTTCCCTCCATGGCAGGGGATCGCCTTTCTCCTCCGATTTCAAAAGGCCCCCACTCTTCCCCCGTTGGACCCTCTCTTCCCTGGTATTTTTTGTACGGCGATCGCATCTGCCGATGCCACGCCGGGTTTGGGCTTTCATCGAACAACCAAATCTCGTCACGAGGAGGCGCGTTCGAATTGCTGTTAGTCGCTGCATGGCACGACGATGAACCGCTGCTACGCTTTTTCGTCGTCTTGTCGTTCTGCGACGTCAACTCCTCGTAGTCACTAGAACCAGACTTGAGCGACTCAGTATACTTGGTATCAGGCAGATTACTGCACCTGCTGCAGTCCTGGGACTTAGGTCGTTTTTCAACACTAGAATCCTTGTCTCTTGACTGGCCGTGTCCACGACACCTACTTCGGGTGTCGTTCTTCGTGCACGTTTTATGTGGTGGTTCGTTGGGCTCGTCAGGAGATGACGAACGCTGCCGCACAAGGGCGTAGCGAGAGCCGGGAAGGGCGTGGCCGAGTCGAAGTGAGGTCGTCATAAGACGCGGTGAGAGGATGCTAGGTTCTTGACAACCATCGAGAAGGCCGGGATCTGGAGAGACACTGAGTAGGCTGGGTTCTTGAGAACCCCCTAAAAGGCCAGTTTCTGGACAATCACCGAGTAGGCAGGGTTTAGGAGAACCACCGAGTTGACCGGGTTGTGATGAAACCTTGCGCCGGCTGGGTTCTGGAGAACACCCTAAAAAGCCGGGTTCTGTAGAACCACCGAGTGGACCGGGTTTAGGAGAACCCTTACGTCTTGCGCATGCAGAGGTGCTGGATTTTACTGCAGAATTAGAACACAGAAACTCGTCCTTAGAACCCCACATGGGCAAGTTTTCCACGAATAGGCCTTCCTCAGATACGAGGTCACGTAATTCAGGTGTAAGACATGTTCCGTGCAACGGCAGATAGGATAACACGTGCATTGGTCGGCGCACTTCAGATGAAGCTCGCACTGGGATGAGACACGAGTGAAAACTTTCTGGCTGTCTTCGCCAATAAAAGTGCGATGGGAATGACATGTTCCTTATCGCAAATATCGAGAATTTAGCGTCAACAAAGAATTTTTTAGTTACACTACACAATTCCTCACATATCAGAGTTAAGGCGACGACAAATCTCTTTTATCATATCAATAGTAAAAAAAATTTTAAGAAAATATTCGACACTGGCGATCGATAAGGAAGGAGAACGGGAACTTATTCAAAGAGCATAGACTATGAGGTCAGCTTATCGTAACTGACAGCTAAGAGTCAATAAGGTAGTATTATGGCAGTGTCGCGACAAGCCGGTATGGACATCAGTGCGGTATTGCGGTCTGCAGCTCCACTCAAGCCTTGACCACAAGCAAGAAACCTGTGAGTTCTAAGAAGCCACACAAGCCCTCCTCATTTGTAGCCTTTTTAAATTTTATTTTATTCAATGCAAAATTTTACAATTATTCCATGTTCCCGAGGCAGTATTTAAATTAAGGAGAATCGAAGAATAGAAATAACGTAAGCGGACGAAATACCAATTAAAAGTTAATTTTAGATTTAATTTTTTCAAAGGTTTTTTACTCTGAAAGGTATAATTCCTCTAGAATTATTTCTGCCAGCTACTCGACTAAGCCTTAAAAACCTCTAGCTATCCCGGCAAAGAGAAAAAAACACTCACAGTGTGGTGCACGATGCAGAATTTTCCTGCTCGTTCATCTCAGGCGCCGGTCGGAGAAATATCTCCTTGTCGCTCAGGAGAAAGAAAAGCAGAGCCGTCAGAGCGCACGCAATCACGACGCACCCCAGAGCTGGCCAGAGCTCCCTGACGTACACACCTTCGTCAGCGGTGCTCTGAAGCTTCGAAGCTGCAGAGCGGTGGCTTAAGCTCTGGTCCTCGATTACAGGAATTAGGTTTCTGGGGCTGCCTGAGTAAGAGTCGGAGGACTGCGTTGGGGTGCTTTGAGGGGATTGGTTCTCAGGGGCTGAGGAAGTGAGGGCAGGCGAAGAGGGGAGTGTCGAGGGAAGTGTCGAACAGCAACCCACAGGAGCTGCATACAGCCGCGACAGACCTAATTCACTGGTGGGACCTTTGTGGTTGAGGGTTGAGACGTTGTGGTTGAGGGTTTTACATTCAACACCAAATCGATTAGGCACAAGGTCCAGTTCTGCTTCACGATGGAAGAGTAACAAGCGGTTCTCATATAAGTCAAGTTCCGTGGGTTGGTGGGTAACATAAGAATCATGCCCGGTGGGTACGTGGGCAGGGCCCAAGCTGCATCTCGGGAGCCAGAGATCGTCTTCTGCGTCACGCGACGCTGAAACAGAAGAAGCCCCTTCCCCGAAGGAGGGTCGCAGAGGCCCCAAGAAGTGGGTTTGGGTCTCACGAGTAGCAGCGGTGAGCCCCAATGACCCTACCTGTCGTGTTGTGGGCCTCGCACTTTCGAGAAATGGGCGCTGCGACGGTCGCACTCGCGTGGGCAAACGGGGCCCAATAGTGGGCTCTTTGGCTCGTCTCATAGACGGGACATTTGGGCCCGGGGGGCGCGGGGGCCCACATGGGGACGGAGGGGCAGGGGGCACAGGAGGGCCCGCAGGCACAGTCAAAAACCTGCGCTCACGCTCATCTAAACTAGACTCGGTGGGCGACACGTCTGCGTAGCGTAGGTATGTGATGGACGGAACACGCTCGGGCATGGCGGGACTCACGGCATATCACTGCATGGCTAAGGTCATGGCTCCACTGCAGGGCTAAGGCCACGTCTTCACTGCTTTTAACGTCATGGCTTCACTGCGTGGCTAAGGTCATGGCTTCACTGCACGGCTAAATTCATGTCTTCACTGCTTGAAGCGTTATAGCTTTACTGCGTGGCTGGACTCAATCTTCACTGCATAAAGGCTCGTGGATTCACTGCTTGCAGAGTCCTAGCTTCACTGTATACAGATAAGTGACTTCACTGCATGCAGCAGGCTCGTGGATTCACTGCTTGCAGAGTCCTAGCTTCACTGTATACAGATAAGTGACTTCACTGCATGCAGCTTCGTGGCTTTAAAACATGCAGGGTCATGGCTTCACTGCACCTTCATACATCATTTTCTTCACTGCATGCTGACTGGTTCACCTCATCTCATCATCTCGCGCCGTCGGGAGGTCAACACATGCAAGTTTTTAGTCTTATTCTTCCCGTTCTCTTTCACTTCAATACAGGTGAATAATTCGCTTCCGTATTACTCTAACTAGAAACAAACCTGACCATTCCAAACATCTGCATTGACTCACACATCAATTAGAGCAGCAGAGTGAGTTAAGTAGACACTTAAAACGCTAACAACGAAGCACAGTAGATGAGTGTTGTCGATATGTAGAGACACCTCACCGTAATTTACGAGTTCTACACCCTACACCAACGACAGCTCGACGAGCACTGCCGGGAGATGAGATAGAAAAGTTGGACTAATGCGGGATAGAATGAAGACCTAAAACAGCGTTAGGAAATACAGTGAAGAATAGGCCTGTTTTTGCGGAATTTTTCAGCGCAAAAACAGTCAAAAATTATTCCGACGTGTGCCGAAGTTGATGCAGAACAAGCCTTATATGTGGTCCCGATGTGAGGCAGTTACGGTGTTGAACAAGCTCAATTCTATGATAGTGAAATATTATGTCGAAGAAACCCAACACGAGACACTTCTACGTTCAAGTAATTTTGTCGCACAGGGCAGATCGAAAATATTTATTTCCGCCTTCGCTCGTATAGAAATTTTTACGAGAAAAACTAACTCCGTAGCGCCTTATTATAGATAATGCGTTAAGACATGTTACTTTGAAGTGGAAGACTATTTGTGAGCCACAACCTGCTAAGTATTAGACCTTGAGCCACTACAGATTCGAGCAAGTTTTGTTAAAAGTCTTGATGTTAACGTCGAAAAAGTTGAGAAAGGGTTAGGACGTTGAGGTTGGAGGTTAATCTTTTAGTCAATAAATCAATCTTTGGAGGAATGGCACCAAAGGGAAATTCCAGCATCAGTTTGCTGAACATTTCAATAGCAGTGACTAGAACTGGTTGGATAGATATTGTTCTCATTTCTGGTTTCGTTAAGACTGTTTTAACGAGTTCTTATTTCCAGCCTTTTTTTGTTACAACATAGACAGAAATCTTTGAAATTTTTATATGATATCAAGGAAATAAACGTGTTAGTTGCGATTGTGAGAAACACAACCCACACAAACACCAGCAAACAAACGTGTTAGTTGCGATTGTGAGAAACTCAACCCACACAAACAGCAGCAAACAAACACAGCAGGTTGCTGTACCTCAGAAGGCTCTGGGGCCGTGCAGCCTTCCCCTTCTCCATCCTGCACAAGCGTACAGCTCATACTCAATAATGGAGTAGTTGTAGTAGTAGGATTCGGTAGTCGGTACCACTGAGCCGTGCGGGTGAGTGCCAGACAGTTTCAGAGGCTGACATATCTATACTCTGACCTCAAACTAGAATGAAGGTGTTGCCCCTTCTCAATTGAAATAATTATACTATAATAGATATATAATTTTAATAGAAACCAATATTAATTCAATACAAATTTAATTTATTGCATGCTGGCATGCTATATATTTTTAATTGATAGATGGGCTGTGCGGCTGTGCCCTCCATATTACTAATTGATAATTGACCTTAATCTACATTAAACTTGGTCCAGAATTGATAATTGATGAATAATTTTAAGTATATCTGTAGAAATTAAACAGATAAGGCTAATTTATAACGATAATATATTTATATACAATGACTTGTTACTATTGTAGAAATTTATGGGTTTAATGCACATTTATATATTTATTTGGCAGCACTAAACGAAACTGTTGGGATTCCATGGCTGCAGGTCTAGCGCATCGCGCGTACGTCCGGAGCTTCCCTGAACAATACCGTTCTCACAGGCCACAGCCCTGCCAGGCTTCATCCGCCTGTGCATTATTAAATTTGCAGCTTTATGCATTCTTAAATAAAGAAAAGATAAATTTAGGAAACTTCACGTTTCATTGCCATCTCTAGCCCCCATACGCATAGGTTTTGTTAACATTGTAGAAAAAAATTCAAAGCCCTACAGCCAAATACCTTCTTCGAAGTCGGAGTATCAAGATGATGTTTACACTTTCATTATTTAGGAAAATTTTGAAGAACAGACGCAAGTTAAATCAGAAACCTTTTAAATTCATATAGAAGTTGGTGTTCAAATCATACGTAATTACCGTGGCTAAACAAATTTCATGTGGTTAATAATATTGTAAGCTATACCGTCTCATGTACAAAACTACTTATCTGAGTTAATCTCTCAAATTTTATAATTAGAATATTGACTATTGTAAAATAAATATCCAAATATGCCACGGCTCATGACATATATTACAATGCCATCGATTAATGTCCATTATCCATCAAGATACAGAGATATCATAATATCTATCAAACATTGCAATCTCATGACTAGACAGAAATTTTTTTTCTAATTTAAATGTTAAATTTTGCAGCTAACACTTATAATGATGAAAAATTATAACTCCTATTACTCATACCCAAATAAAATTTAAGAGTGGTGCACCAATGTTTTTATGATGGCTATCGGCGGACGCCATAGGTGGAGCAACTATGATTTATATAGTGAATTTAGAGTGGCGTGCACCACCAATCCCACGCCTAAAACCTGTCGATGGCCTCCCTGCCCGTAAAGCTCTTCTTCCGCTAATAACTACCCAATGGCACCGGTGGCGCATCAACGAGCCACCGATGGCCAACTTCAAAATGAAGTCAATAAAAATTTTTCCTTCAGTTTCAAATCCGATGCTTCTGCATTTACTGATATTGCTTCATTTAATCACCATTTATATGCAAATCTACGATGGCAGTACAAGTAATAATTTCAGACATGTAGCAGGAATAAATTATCAGTGTACCATGCACATACCTCGTTAGAAATCGACTTAAAGAACGTCCCTGTCTGCAGGATTCGAACTCCGATCTCCCCCACGCGAAGCCGACCCTCTACCGTTGAGCCATCGGAGAGGACAGGGCAATCGAGTAATTTTAAAAGATTTAAGTGAAGTATTGCAAATATTATTTTCATCAAATGGGAGAAGTTAACGCTGCCACCGTAATATGATTAGATGATTCCATCAACAATTTAATTAAACATGCTGCTATATTTGAGTAAAAAGCCGCTGAAAAAACTTCATTTATCCATAACGAACGATGGTTCAGCTCATAGTGAAGGCTACGGAAAAATGCTTAAGGGGAGCGTCTGGATCCAAAATCGACAATTTTGTCTTTTCCGGTTTTTAGTCACATCTTAAAGCTGACATTCTGACCTATTCAACGGTACCAAAACCATCTCTGTACGTTGATTTATGCGTTCACGACAGATCCCGGAAGGGATCTACAATAGTAACATTCTGAATGAGTGGCCTTCAATAGACTACGACAATTCGGATGCACTGGATGTCTCTGTGGGAGAGTTCTTTCACATTTAACATAGAGAATAAATCCCGCATTGCACTATAATTAGCTAGTCTACGCACTAACGCACACTCAGCTCCAGTAACCTTGCGGCAGTCGTACGGAGTAGTTCTCGCGCCGTCGCTCTCACCATCCTTGACAGAAATCGAGCTCCAGTATCGTCTAGTCGCATTCCTTGCACTCAGCTCCAGTAACCTTGCGGCAGTCGTACGGAGTAGTTCTCGCGCCGTCGCTCTCACCATCCTTGACAGAAATTGAGCTCCAGTATCGTCTAGTCGCATTCCTTGTAGTCTTGAATGCCGATTTCGAGGCGCCCGGGACTTTGTCGGGCTCTTCTGAACATTCACACTTATTGAACTTGAACTTGAACTTGAACTTGAACTCGTCGGATGGTTGAGGCCTCTAGCAAGGCCTGTTCATCTCTCCAAAGTCGAAGCCAACCCAATTCAATGCAGGACCCTAATTCTGGCATTCTGGCTTATATAGTGATGGCAGGTCCCTCCAGTGATGGTCAAGTAAGTTTTTAAAAGTTTAATTGGAATTTAGGTTTTGTTTTATTATTCTTATATCGGGCTTTCCCACTTGTTTTAACAACTTTCTGGTATGCCGGCAAAATTGAACAAGTAAAATGCAGGAGTCTAGCGGCAAACTTCAATTTTCGAAGGGGCTTCCTTCGTATACGATTTATAGACTTTTCCCATTACTGATTAATCTTAACTGAGTGGACGTTAGTTAAGCTATTGAGAGGTTAAACTAACTTATCAACGAAAACTTATTTAATAAGAGGGCCATTTTGGGCATGAAAACTCGTAACCTTAAACATTTGAAACTATAACCTTAATCCCCAAATGCCTAAGTGGATTCCGACTTCACACACAGATATTGACTTATATAATGTAACTATTTAATCACGAAAATCTGTACGGTCACAAGTGCATTCATTTATAAACAAATTATGACATCCTTTCATTTGTAATTCCTCTTTAATTAGTTATTTAACTATTTGGTTAACAAGGAGCTGCAACTCCGACTTCCTGATAAACTGTGATTTTTTTCATCTAGTTTGTCTTCGTTATCGATTTATTGACATATTTTCCATATTTACTTTATTTTTCAATAATGTTTGCCTTCCTTCTAAAAGCCTTCGTCGTCCTTCCGACAAATGCGGACTTCGGATTCATCGAAACAACACACACTCAAAAAAATAATGGGTTATATATTGTCCCAATAGTGACATGCATTCTGCACATAGCCCTGATACACCCTTTTGTCGGGCTGAACTAGAAAAAGATTATGCATAACGGACAAAGAATGCATCGCTATTTGGACGAAGTCTCCTCATTTCTCTCAGTGTAACAAACCACGCATGCGTGAGCTGGAACTAAAAGTTTGATAAGTGATCGTTTTACATGGCATTTATTTCTTAACGAATAATGCTTGTTGTTGTTGAAATGGTTAGTCCTAAAATTGAAATTGAATCAATTTTCGAAATAAATGGTTAACCTTAAAATTAGAGTCGAAAATTAAATTTCAAATATTTCAACAGCAAGTTTGGGGTTCGAAACCTGCTATTAGCTGTGAAACTTATTGTCGAAATCAACAAGGCGGTGAATAATCGGTGATAGGTTTACGTGGTCCAATTAAAGTAGACACCACTATACTATATTATTCTATTATAATAATGTGCTACCAATTATAAAACTGCGGAATCCCAATTTCCTGTATTGCTCACTACCCGGGGTAGAGATATGCTTACGCAATACAGGAGGCAACCGTACAACTTCTTAAAACCAAGACTTCAAGCCTTTCCCAATTTTGATAAACTCAAATAAATCTATCACAGATCGTTATAATTTCTTATTAGTATCAAGTAGTGGTTTAAAATTCAAGAAACCTCTTCGAAATTCCCTTGAACATGAATTAGTTGCGACCGCAGTGGTGATTGACCTGAAATTAAATCATAGTAGTGCACAGTAACAATAAAGTTGATAATGAGGCAAGCAAAACTCACTCCACTCAAAATGGGCTTGGGGTAAGGAATGCAATTCGCACTCCATGCAATCTCGGTCTGCTCAATACACAGCCCAAGATTTTGTAATAATTAATATATTTCAATTTTTTTATAGAAGTTAAAGGGTATAGATGGACGACAGAAACAACGATCGAAGTTTAAGCGACGCAGAGTGCAGAGAGTAGAGAACAACAACAGAGGATGGATAACGATGGTGAAGTAGTACAGTGGAAAGATAGTGAAAGGCAGCCACCAATGATAGCCAACGACTGTGAAGTGGAGGGTGAAGTGGGTGTTATGGACACCACCAAAGAGACAATAATAGTGAAGTAGTGCGTGGGTACAATTAAGCGGGTAATCAATTAGACGGACAACTATCGTGAAGTGCGGCACCAGATCAACAAATTAATGTGTATAAACTAACCATAAAATAAACATATAAATGGGGAATATAAACAACACAATAGTTGGGGAGGACAATACGCGTTACGCAGAAAGTCCTACGCAGTGAGACGCAGCAAGTTGTTGAAGCGTCGAAAGTGTTATGCAGCAAGTAAATCGCGGTAAGTATTTTGCATTAAGTAAAACGCAGTAAGTACTATATACAGCAAGTGCTATGCAGGATCACAAAGAAGAGCAGCAACGGTAGCAGAGGTTGTGAGCTGAAAGGGAACTACCACAAAGGAGGTACATACCGCTGGATGGTGAGGGATGTTATGATGAGGAGGTGGAGGTATGTGGTGTTCAAGGTGGAGTGGTCCCGTTGAAGTGGAAGCAGTATGAGTGTCAGTGAGAGTGGAAGGACTCAAGGAGAGAGTGGTAGTCAGTATGGAAGAGGATGGATCGCGTTCGACACGACGTTCCTGTAGCTGGTGGACATCCAAGGTCTGGAGTTTGGTGGTCGTTGGTACATGGGAGGGGAGGGCGGCATGAGCTTTGGATGATTTTTGGGACGAACTTTTCTTTTTAGGCTTGACCGCCACTACGGGACTCGGGGCTTCAATGGGGCGATCACTTGGGGGCTGCAATGACGAGAACTGCTCAGCTAGGACATGGAATTTGGGATGATCGGAGTGGTCAACCAAACAAGGGACGACTGATTCACTACATACACGACTAGTGTACTGCAAGACTGGTTCACTGCAGGACTAGTCTATTACAAGACTGCAAGACTGGTTCACTACACGACTAGTCTAATACAAGACTGGTTCACCACACAACTGATGAATACCTAGACTATTTCACATAACGACTGGCTCATCCTCCGACTGTTTCATCCCATTTAAACCTAACTGGAATATCAACAACTGTACTTCGGTACGCTTATCTGCGTACCAATAGTATTTCGTCTTTACAGACGAAATATGTTTCCGCATCACGAAGGCTAATGCATAGTTATGTTTTGCAACAACTTAGATTCGTAGACCAAGTGTAGCTGTGCGTACTCACCCTTCATGCCGCATCTATACTCACCTCCCGAGTGATTAACTCACGTTACGACACTAATGAATGCAACTACTCGATGCATTAACTTTATGCAATGATCTAATACAATATATATCATACAATAGGTCTCGCCGTGCAAATAATTCTTTGCGAACATCGATATGAATAGAGATGTTACATATCATTCGCTAACTTCCAAACGACACCAAGCGCACCAGTCAACAATTTGTGCATAAATGAATTAAGACTGTCCACTGCATCTATTGCAGACCATCTTCTAACTAGTAACTACATCTATTGCAGACCATCTACTGACTTCCATCTTTTGCGTGATTGCAAACTTTGCACCAAACTAAAGTTCAATGCAACAGCGAAGCAAGTGATGGCGCCCCGGTTCCTGGAATGCGGTGTTAAGTGTTTCTGGAATAGCGATAGCTACACACCACATACAGGATACTCTGTATTATCTACACGCACACACTTTTGATGCTCGCGCCACATGCAACAGAATCATCACATGAAAGTGCAATATATATAGTTTCCCCACCGTCCCGTCAAGTGCATCCCTTCACAATAGATGCACATGCAAATGTAACATGACATGCACAAGTGACATCATATATGCACATGTCAAATAAATGCACAAGACACATGGCAACATCACATACACCTGTAACACATGCACATGTAACAACACATGACAACATCACATACACCTATGTAATACATGCACATGTAACAACACACGAGTGGTTAATGACCAGAGAAATCATCGAATTAAATTTTCAGGATCGAACAATATTCTTCAGCTGACGTTGGTTGATAAAAATTCAGGTTCAAGGAAGTAAATTAATCCATCCTCATTCATTAAATCTGTGTGATCCAACTGCATGTACAAAATATCAAGATTAAAGTCCCGTGTATAAAATATATAGAATCCAACTCTTCCAGCACTCATGTCTTTCAGACGCGTGAGGGGAAACTCTTTTCAGAGACCCTTCTAAAAAACAGCAGGTCCAGCGACAGTTGCGTCTAGAGCTTCACTAAAAAGAACTGCACATCTCGAACCACTGCAGCAAAATTGTACTTTGGAATAGCGCAGTGACATTCCGCTCCTGACACTTGACGGACGTCGGGTCCAGACGCAGGGATGACGTAGGGGCATCCACCCCCTCACCCACCTCATCCACCAACCTGCACAACATCCATGCTTGTTAGTACCATAAAACCTTGCATTGGCACTCCTTCACATCCACCTTCACATCCACCTTCAATTCAGGTTCCTTGAACCTGAATTTTTATCAACCAACGTCAGCTGAAGAATATTGTTCGATCCTGAAAATTTAATTCGATGATTTCTCTGGTCATTAACCACTCGTGTTTAAACAAGCTTATTCTGCTATCTTATACTAATGTAACAACACATGCACATGTGACATCTCACCTCCCCGGTCCCCCGCCAACTCACATGTCGGGAGGGGTTTGATGTTCTGCCCATGAGCTCATGCACCGACATGACTATGTCGGTGAGCTCGCCCTTGGTTATGCAGCCGTCAGCGTTCGTGTCGTACATCTTGAATGCAAACTTGAGCTTCTCGTGGTTAGATCCCTTCAGGAGCTGGGATAAACTCACCAGCAGGTCCTGGAAGAGGGGCGTGAGAGGGGAAGATGAGTGGGGTGAGTAGTAGAGGGTGATGGGAGAGGAGAGAGGTGAGTAGTTGGGAGTGGTAGGCGAGTGGGGTGAGTAGTAGAGTGTGAGGGGTGAGGAGGGAGGTGAGTGAGTAGTAGAGGGTAGTAGGCTAGGGAAAAGGTGATCGTGAGAGAGGGATCGTGAGCTAGATCAGTAGAAGAGGGTGATGAGGCGAGGGTGGGTAGTGAGTGAGGTGGGTAGCAGGGAGTGTGATGATGAGCGGTGTTTATGAAGATACTATATTAGGAGTTATTTTGTAGTGGGAATAAGTCTTATTTCACATCACCCCACCTTCAATTAATGTTCTGCCTTCAGGACACACATTCTATATATATAGGGCACTCCTCCAATATCCTGCCCAGTCTCTAGAACACTCCTTCAAGGAAACGCTATTTTATTGGCCACTCTAGAACGAGTCTTCTTCAAGGATCCCTAGATCAAGCCATTTCAAGGACACTGTCTCCCTAGAATAATCCATTTCTAGGAAACTTCCTCTCTAGAACAATCTATTTCTAGGACACTTACCCCTCGAGAACACTCCCACTAAAAACAATTTATTTCTAGACTACTCACCCTGAAGCTGATCTGCCCGTTGCTGCTGAGGTCGAAGGCTTTGAAGACGTGGTGGGCATACAGGCTCGAGTCTGTCAACAAAAACGTTATTTTTTCACAACAACGTATCTTATAAACGTTTCTCACAATACCGTAACTAGAGAACGTTTTTCATAATAACGTATCTTTTAAACGTTTATCACAATACCGTAACTAGAGAACGTTTTTCACAACAACAACGTTTCTCACAATACCGTAACTAGAGAACGTTTTTCATAATAACGTATCTTGTAAACGTTTCTCACAAAACCGTAACTAGAGAAAGTTTTTCACAACAACGTATCTTATAAACGTTTTTCACAATACCGTAACTAGAGGACGTTTTTCAAAACAACGTATCTTATAAACGTATCTCACAATACCATAACTAGAGAATGTTTTTCACAACAACGTATCTTATAAACGTTTCTCGCAATACCGTAACTTGAGAACGTTTTTCCTAATAACGTATTTTATGAACGTTTTTCACAATATACCGTTACTAGAAAATGTTTTCCACAACGGAGTAACTCAAAATGATTTCCCAACAGCCCCACTCACAAACATTTTCCACAACAACGGAACTTACTAATGTCTTTAGCGTATTTTCTCATTTATGGAAAAAAAGGCGCTATTGTGCTCGTCATGCCCGTCCGTCCGTGACTTCACGGACGGACGAGAAAATGCGCTCTCTGTCACTCACTGCAGAGAGTACTGATCTAATTTTTTTTCTTCACACCGCAGACGAGAATTTAGTAGCCTTCATTGCTTCTCTATACTATCTCTATCAGATAAAGTTATAGAGAAAGTAATCATAATGTATTTATAAAATTACTCTGCTTCAAACAATAGAGATTTCTTACAGTGAAATTTAGTTCGGTCTCTCTAGAAAACTTTCCTCTTATAGGAGCACTCACTCTCCAGTATACACTCTCCCTATGGGGCCCTGCCTCTCTATAGGAAAGTTCTTCTCTAGGGAATTTTCTCTAGAACTTTGTCACTCTGAGGGCTCTCATCCTCTAGAAAAACCGCCCTCTATAGGGCACTCCTTCTCTTGAACTCTCTCCCTTACGGAATTCATACATCACGGGAGGTGTATACTGTATATAGGGTGTTTCAGTGATCGTCATAACACAAGGATAAATCAGGCTTTTCATACACCAATGTGTGTCTTTCTAGAGACATCTTATCTATGCAAATATATCAAATAATAACTAAAGTGAAAAATTATGCAAAAAACATGTGTCTATCTAGCTATAACTATCACATTGCTAGCTATAAGTCTGCAACATTAAAAAGGTCGATAAAAAATCATTAAATACTACGCATGAAAAAAAATTCTACATCTCAATTTGTACAGACTGAAACTCAGTGGAAAATCCTGTTAGGTTCATCGGTTGCTTCGTGTTGCCGAACTTAAGCCGATAGTTAATAAATCTGTGTCAAATTGCAGCGAGCAGCAAGAACAATTTCTAAGGATTGTAGCAATTGGTTCTAGTACAAATCTTGACACATCGACTCAATAATTAATGCTCTAGATAGGTAGTGTCACTTGTGTCATTTATTTATAACTTTAAGTATGTTCTACACGACACCGGTAATGGGATCATTTACATATGATTTTCAGATTCATTTAAAATTTCAAGACTCATGACAAAAAGAACATCGATGCATGAGTCAGCAGTTTCTTACCTGCCATCAAGCTTAACGAGGCATGTGAATCAGACAAACTATCAGATACACCATTCATTCTTTCATCAGTCATCAATCATATAGTTTATAAAAGATAATGATAGACTCTACTATCTAACGAAAAAAACTTCCATATTCTATACTTTTCCAGAGTCTAATCAATCCTTACATCATTATTCTGCTTCAGTCTTAATTCAACAATAAATATAACATAAAGAAAATAATCACATGGTATAAGAAAGAAAAATTATAAGACACAAGATAAGACACAAGATAAGATACAAGATAAAAAATATAAGACACAAGATAAGACACAAGATAAGACACAAGATAAGACACAAGATAAGACACAAGATACGACACAAGATGAGATACAAGATAAGGCACAAGATACGACACAAAATAAGATACAAGACAAGACACAAGACAAGACACAAAACAAGACACAAGATAAGACACATGATAAGACAAGATAATATAAGACACAAGATAGGATACAAGACAAAAAACAAGATAAGACACAAGACACAAGACACATGATAAGACACAAGATAAGACACAAGATAAGACAAGATAATATAAGACACAAGATAGGATACAAGATAAAAAACAAGATAAGACACAAGACACTAGACAAGACACAAGACAAGGCACAAGATAAGACACAAGATAAGACACAAGATAAGACACAAGATAATACACAAGATAAGACACAAGATAAAACACAAGATAAGACACAAGATAAGATACAATATAAGACACAAAATAAGACACAAGATAAGACACAAGATAAGACATAAGATAAGACACAAGATAAGATACAAGATAAGACCCAAGATAAGAAATAAGATATGACACAAGATAAGACCCAATATAAGACATAAGATATGACACAAGATAATACACAAGATAAGACACAATATAAGACACATAATAAGACACAAGATAAGACCCAAGATAAGACACAATATAAGACACAAAATAACACACAAGATAAGACACAAGATAAGACATAAGATCCAAGAAAGACACAAGATAAGACATAAGAATAAGACATAAGAGAAGACACTAGATAAGACACAACACAAGATGAGATACAAGACCCAAGACAAGACACAATATAAGGCACAAGATAAGACATAAGACACAAGACCCTAGACAAGACACAATAAAAGATAAGATAAGATAAGACTCACTGCCGTGCGGGAAGAACTTGGCGTAGACCTCCTTGAAGGCGTCCTCCTGCACGACGCCTTCCGGGCACTCCTGTGGGCACAGCAACATGGGACTTAAGGACTGCACAGCCAGGACTTAAGGACTGCACAGTCAGGACTTAAGGACTGCACAGTCAGGACTTAAGGACTGCACAGCAGGACTTGAGGACTGCACATCCAGGACTTGAGGACTGCACAGCCAGTACGTACGTAAGGACTACACAGCCAGGACTTAAGGACTGCACAGCCAGGACTTAAGGACTACACAGCCAGGACTTGAGGACTGCACAGCCAGGACTTGAGGACTGCACAGCCAGGACTTGAGCACAGCACAGCCAAGACTTGAGGACTGCANTGATATGGACAACTAGAGAGATTTTGTCACTAGGTTCTCATATACATTAAAAGCGCCGCAAGAAAATGGAATCACCCGTGGTCATTTAATGTCGCATTCATTTTCACGACTAAACCACATTGAAAGACATCGTTCCAGTATTAGCATTCTTGATCCTTTCGAAGATCCACCTCGATGTTCAATCGATATCAATATCAATAAAAAGTTCTATATCAATAATGCTTTGATCAATAATAAAGCCTTTTAACCGCTACGGCAATTAGTGGCATTTTCATTATGCAGTAGTAAATGTAAGTCATAAAAACTATAAATCATTATCGCCTATCGTAATGAGTATCGAGATGACGTATTAAAAATTCGGTTCGAAATTAGATTCAAGATGTGTATAAAAGAAACCATATCAAAATGTCATATCAAAATACAATACAAGAACGCAGTACTAAATGACATATCTAAATTCGACATTAAATGCGCATCAAAAACGTATCAAAAGGAGTATGAGAGGCGTATCAATATTCCGTTTTACATGTGTTCCAAAATGCGTATCAAGAATCCAATAAACTAGGCTGTCACCTGTCACGACTGACAAGACAGTGACAAGTGACAAGAAGCGTACAAAAAAAACGCGAATAACTTGGCGTAAAATTATAAATAAATACGACTATGCACTCAATGTTGCAGGGCTGAATATATAAATCAGCATTTAAAATAAATAAAACCTGAGATTAAGCCGCCATAACATCTTGACAACTTTTTCCTTTTTCGGAGACCAGCACAATCAGCAGTTAAAAATTGAATGAATACAAGTACAATAAAAACAAAAATTAAAAATTTTCACGCATAATTGAAACCAAAAAGTAACGATTATCGCGCGTGATACGGTTAACTCGTGCGTAAATCGTTCTGGCCAGGCTTGTACGGAAGGGAAATAGTGCAGTAATTATTAAAACATTGAGTGAAGTGTCAATTTTTATCAATGATCTTCGAAAATTCCATTGCAATTCTATCCTTTACAGAGATATACAATTTCAGCCTGCGAGTGCTAATGTATTTAGTAAATAAAGAATGCAAGCATCATGTACGTATGTATACATAAAATTTTGTATGTTTCAACTTTTTAAAATAAAATAGAGTAGTAAATAGTAGTGAAATAGTAAAAGCCCTCTGGGTCTGTTCTGCATCGCTGCAGCCTCATTGAGGTTGTCGTGCGTCTGGCACGCCGCGTATTGATCTGAACACACGAGCAAGTTGTCGTACAAATCTCGGGACCAAAACTTTCCCCTATACTCTTCCAAAACAAGGCCATGAATGAATTAAATTGATAATTTAATCAATAAATTTTGATTGAATGACTAAATTACGTAATGAGTAACCGTTTTTAAGTTGGTTATTCGTTTCACTCATGCACTCATTTAAAAAGATAAAATTCGTTATTTCTATCGTGTCAGGATTGATGCTCAATATCCGAACATTGGGGCATCTAAAGTGGCGGGCACGAAAGTCTACGGTCTCTACAACCAGCATTCAATTAACTCTTCAGCGTCCTACACATTTGTGGATATTGTGCACTATTGTGTGAACACAACTGTTCCCATATAGTACACAATTGTGCCCGCCGGAGTGAACACAACTGTACCCATATAGTACACAATTGTGCCCGGAGTGAGCACAGCTGTACCCATTTAGTACACAATTGTGCCCGGAGTGAGCACAACTGTACTCATATAGTGCACAATTGTGCCCGGATTGAGCACAACTGTACTCATATAGTACACAATTATGCCTAGAGTGAGCACAACTGTACCCATATAGTACACAATTGTGCCCGGAGTGCACGCAATGGTGTGCCGCCGAATTGTTCTCAGCAGCAGAGCTCGGTGACTAGATGGTTGCCGTATACAATTGAGAGTATTATTTACAAAACCATTGAGATAATGAATACTATACCGAAATGATAACGCGCAGTAAATAAATAAGTGTAATAAAATGACCAATAAATTGATATGCAAAGCCTGCCTCGTGGGGAGGGAGGGGGACGGGGGCAGGCAGAACGGATTTCTGTAGCACTCTTGTTTTGTTAATAACAATTAACACATATAATTTATATATAATATATAATATAATTTATTATATATAATTTATATATAATTTTATAATAATTAACACAATAACACACATAATTTTGTTATGATTGTTTCAGGCCGAAATGTTTGACGTTAAACAGGCTTTTCCAACCTGCACTGATCTCGTTCTCCTCTAAGTACGACCTGCAAGTGACCTGCAGGTAACCTGTACATTACATAACATGACCTGCACGTGTCCTACACTGATCTGCTCGTGACCTGCAAACACTGCACTGCACGTGACCTGCAATGACCTGCACTGACCTGCTTGAAGCCCCTGTACATGACGCGGATCTCGTGTTTGGTGAAGCGCGTTTGCTTGCAGAGTTCCTCCAGCCTCACGGGGGCGGCCTTCATCTTGGGGGCATCTGTGACAAACACGGCACTGTGACAAACACGGCACTGCGACAAAAACGGTACTGTGACAAACACGGTACTGTGACAAACACGGCACTGTGACAAACACGGCACTGTGACAAACACGGCACTGTGACAAACACGGCACTGACAAACACGGCACAGTGAGGTGACCTGCAACAAACACGGCAGGTCGTCCACGGAGCTTCACATCGTCCGCATTTTTATGGACCTTCATTTCCGCAGTGCGGGTTTTTGGGGTTGTTGGGGTCCGGGGTTAACCAGGCTGTTGTGCTTGTTGTTTGTGTTTGGTGCTTGTTGTTATGGTAGTTATTGTTGTAGCCGCGCCGCGCACGTCAATAATTTTTTTACTGCGATTTCACTTGTCATTTTTTTACGATCATTCAAAAGTTATTTCTTATAGTATTTGTCCTGTTAAATCTGTACTCATTTTACCATTAATGTTTTTGTCTTTCGATTTTTACTAGCATTTTCATTTCGAGAAAAAGTCTGTTCACCTTGATGTATTTCACATGTAAATTTATTGTAACATGTAAATTGATTTATTATTGTGACATATATTATTGCTACATCTTAAGTTTGTTATTATTTGTTTACAGAACCTAACTCAGTTATCACGATAGATTCACTACGAGCCATCCGCTGGGTTCATTTTGAGTTTATTTTGTGTTCATTTTTGTTCTTGCTTCTATATTTAATATTCATCATCAGTATCCACCAGTGCCTTCGTATCAATAAAGTTTACTTCCCTGCAAGGATAAAGTTTTGTTTGTCTGGTCGGCGCTGAAGTAGGAGCGGCAGGCATAGCAGTCGCGCTTACAATGACCCATGACGTGGTATTGTGATGGTTGGTGTGGCTGTAGTTATTGTTAATGCGTCTTTTGTTCCAAGTGTTGATGTGGATGTTATTCTTTATTTGTCTGAAAGTTAATTGCGTGTTGGTCATAGCCAGAAGTTAGTGAATGTAGTACATATCTTATTTACTGCATTTTTGTTTTGGTTCCGATCTTCAAAGAAACAGAATAAAGTCTGATTTAATTTTTCTTTTGATGTGCTGTGTTGCGTAGCAGCATCCACACAGCAGTGAAGTGAACAGCAGTGCAGCAATGCAGTGCGGAGGAGAGCAGTGCACTGCACAGAACAGCAGTCCCGCGAACATTCAACACGTGCAGTATACTTCAACACACGCTTGGTTAGCGAGATATAAGAGAGACAAACTCACTGTAACTGAGTCAGAATTCACTCTACCAAGTTAGAACTCACTCAATTTAATAGAACTCACCACGGACATTGTAAAAATCCTCAAACATAAGTTACAATAAAAACTCATCTCTCTCGAACAGGTGAATCCTCATCCTATTGAATGTTAAAACACGCGTTACTCAAGCTACAACTCACACTACTAAATTAGAACTCAACAACTTAGTTTGCAACTCACCAAAAGTAAGCATGAAATCGCCCTCCCCAAACGGGCTCTCAGGAGGCGTTGCCATGGCGACGGTTCCTTCTGTAGGCGACGTTCGATGTCACCACAATGGCACTCCCTTAATGGCACTGTTATAGCACTGCCTTACTGGCACTGTAATGGCAGTACCCCGATGGTACTGTTGTGGCAGGTCTTGCAAGGGCTCTACCCTCGTAGGCTGAGATGGGTTGCAGCAGAGGATTCTTAAGGCTCCGATGCAGCCTCGCTTAAGTGGGTCACTGCTGTGTCAGACTCCTCCCAATCGAGCTCCAGCCTGGCTTAAGTGGGTCACGAAAGTTTCAGGCTCCTCCCACCCGAGCTACAGCCTGGCTTAAGTGGGTCACGACTGCGTCAGGCTCCTCCCACTCGAGCTCCAGCCTGGCTTAAGTGGGTCACGACTGTCTCAGGCTCCTCCCACCCGAGCTACAGCCTGGCTTAAGTGGGTCACGACTGTCGAAGGCTCCTCCCACTCGACCAACACTGGGCCATTGCTACGTGTTCTTTCTCGCGCTCTAACAAAATCCAAAACAGTCACGGTTAAAGACGCAAAATCCAACTCCCCTTCAAGACATTATATATAACTCCTCCTTTTTTATATTAGTTTTCAGAAAATTCCATGAGTACTTCAGGAACACTAAGTTATATAATAATATTCAATCGTATATTTTAGAGCAGCTTGCAAATCCTGCACTTCTTCTATGATGTATCGTTCAAGCAACCTGTTGCTATGACAATCGCTGGAGTTCAAAAGTTAATTGATAACAACATCAATTCAATACATCATTATTGCACCTTTTTTACACACTTCTGTGATAATCGCTTGAGTTCAGCCGGTGAATACGTTTTGACAGTTCATTCACCAGGTTGCCTGCAGTCTCATCTTGAAGTTATGCTAAATGCTTCGTTCATTTTTATCTGTAGAAACAAAGTATGAACATATCATAGGCCATGCAACTACTGCAAGCGAACGAATATTAAAAAAAATCATGACATATCACTCCATATTTTGTATTTAGCACCGATAACAAAATAGAAATAATAACTTGTTAGCTTTGCCCAGGGATAAAATACAAAGGAAATAAATCCTTTACATAAAAGCCTCATGCACACAATTTAGACAGACGCATGAGAGAAATGCACTTGACACATTTAGAGCAATGAGTGAGACTGTCCAATTAGCAATCCACTCCTATGCAATACGCCCTGGTGTGTGTGCGTCATCCTGACTCATTTTGTTCTATATCAAATGGGCGTATCATTGCTACGTACGTACACAAAGTGTGTCACTATCATGGCAATATATATGACCCATACATTTTTCCGAGTACATGCGTCGGTTATAAGGAGCGGGCAACGACATCAATAAATGCGGTATTAAACAAGGGGAAACAACTAATGCTATAATATACCGTAGTTCTCAATTATTTATTCATCAGAAAAATATTGTGTGGCTAAAATAATTTGTAGTTCGTGTGGTGGTACCACAGCAACTGTGGTGCTGGTGGTACCACACCAACTGTGGTGCTGGTGGTACCACAATAACTGTGGTGGTAGCATTCAAGGTGAAGCTTCAGAGCAGCGTTTCCATCAAACTGCACACGCAGAGAAACGAGTGTCACTTTGTCCGATTGTCGATAGGCTTTTTTGCCCTGTGGAGGTCAACCCGACCTTGTTTAGCTTCGAATAATGGCGTATCCATGTTACGTGCAGAGAGTGTGTCACTAATTGGACAATACGAGCAGTAATTTTTCTGAGACTATATTATTGCCCCCAGCTTAAGTATGAACATATTTATAATTACGATAAATTAAATGTTTCAATCAGGTATATTATAGTGCATAAATTAGAGTGAAGTAGGAAACAACAAGTTCACGAGAGGGATACAGAGTAATTATTTACATTGTTTTAACAAAATTTCAACTAATTCCGCTCATTTAAATGAGAATTAACATAATTAAACACGAATTTCTGTGCCCAGTGTTTCCCGACACCAAAATGTGGTTTTCCATCGTCAACACGAAATAAGAACTGGGAAAATCATCAGACCTAATCAATTATCAGGCGTTAAATAGAAGTAATCGAACAAGGAGAAACCGTAGAGGCGAGTCCAAGCATTTGCAATAATTATGAATTTATATTTTAGGCTCTTCTATTGATAAATGGCCATCCGTCGTCACATCAGTCATTTATCTATCTTACTTAAGCTTAATTGCCGTCCATCATATAGCATGAAATTAAACAAAACAAGCAAAAAATTATACGATGTAGCACATTCTCTGAAGATACCAAGAACAATGGTTGAGTGGCCCAATTGAAATGCACAAATAAAGGGAAACTACCAAGAGAGCCATCAGTAGAGCGACGCGACAACCACCTCACACGACCTCTAGAAGTGCACTGGACGCCAGCGAGCTGCTGAGTTGCTGACTACTTATTAGTCTGACTCTGCACTCTGACTGAGTCAAGCAAGTTTCAATGTTAGTTGCCAAGCAGTAAGTCGACCACCAAATAAATTGCACTTAAACGCCTCTCACTTTCGAATGCATTGTTATTCCAATTCACAGGGGTAATATATAATTTACTTTAGCTTCATGGTTACAGATTTTTTATCACAGATTCGGATATTTGGTGCACGACTTAAATGTTCCGCAAATAATCTAGCGTGCTGCAGGTCGCGGGTGCAGAAAACGTTTACACCGAGGTTGAACAAGCATGGTTTAACCAAGAAAAATAAAATAGATTACTCTGGTAATATTAACCACTTCACTCTACTTTAGAATTAGAGACATTGAATTAGAAGAAAAATACTGAGCATAGATGCCTCCTAGTTTCCTAGCCTAGTTAGTTTCCCCCTTTGTTGTTTCCAACGAAATTTAGCCAAGTGGCTGGATTGAGAATAGCCCATAAAGTCAATTTAGTGTCCTTACCTCAACGCGTGTGCCGAGCCACCAGAGTGGCCAGATGGGACTTTTACCGGCCAATTTTGTTCTATTTGGGCTTTTGTCCAATTGGCCGGCGAAAATGAATGAGGGCCTAGAACCTTCTGTAATTTTAGAGTTTTGAAATAAATAAAATGTTGAATTTCCGTTCTGAAAATTACAATTAAACAAATTTATTTCGATTTGAAGCATTTTTAGCGCAAAAAATTTCGCGGCCCTTGAAAAAAATGCTAGTGGCCCCAATTTCGCGGCGTAAACTTACGCTTTCTTCCTATGTATATCTTCACATGTAATATATTATAAGTTTATGACAATGTTCTCATCATGTGTTTTTCAGGAGATTTGAATTATCGGGGAAAGTGTAAATTGAAATGGGCAATTCTTTCGACACATATTGCCGGGTGATTAGGCACATTGGATATTGGAGCAGTGAGTTGCGGGTTCGAGACCTGCAAAAACCGGAAAATTTTTCGCGATGTTCACAATCGGCCACAAGCCTAATGGTTTGATCTACGCTGATATTGCTATTTTTATGTATAATTATATGGGAGCTGGGAGCCATATATAAAAAATTAAATTCCTTCAAATGCTCACAGGTATACGTCAAGGTATCTTCAGGTGTATATTAATAAAGTTCGTATTCTGAGTAGGACAATAATAAACGGATTAAAAATTTTAATTTATGATGTAAAATAATTAATTCAGGGACAGCAAAAAAAAGGTAGGCTTGCTCAGGCGTTAAACATGGAAACATATTAATAATTATTAAAATAAGCTGACGAGTGCAAACGAAATATAGAGCAAATTATAGTTATAAATGTATAGAAAACACAATTTAACTCCTCTTTCTTTTATATTACCCTTTTGTAACAATACTTATTAATAATCCTGTGGAAATAAATTAGTATCGATCAAATCTTTATTGAAATTACATTAATGATAAATTAATGCAATTAGAGTTTAATTAAATTTATGAAAATCGGCATTCCATTAAACTAACCTGGTGTTGCGAGCAACATATACTGCAATCTATTTATAGTTCTGGAGTATAGATATTTTAATTATAACATTTGACACTCGAAATTGTTTCGTTATATACGAGGGTAAAAGTGTACCCTCACACGAGGGTAAAGTTGTTAGATCGCTACCTACGTATATATACGTATAAATAAAAATGGCAATAATAAATCGTATTATTATTAAATAATGACAATAATATATAGTGACATTAATATATAGTGACATTAATATTGATTGGTTGATTGACTGATTGATTTTTTATTCGTAAAGGAGCTCTAGTTACAATTTAAAAGAAAAAAAGAAAAACATTTATAAAATATTAGAGATATCCAAGTGAATGCCCATAAGCAGATAAGCTTCGCAGGCAACAGAGGGGATTTAAAACTCTATTCCAATAAGGCAGAGAAGTTAACAGCAACAGACACAATTTACAATGACAATACTATATAGTGACACTAATTGATGGTGACATATATAAACAGTTAGATAACTAGTATCACTAGTGACCTGGTTAACGGCATCAGGTAAGTTCTGCGGCTCGCAACAGAAGGCTCCTTGTTTGGTGTAGGCGGCGCCCCCGCGTCCCCCTAGAGCCTGCGCCGCGGGGGGCAAAAAGTTCCCCGTGTAGAACTGAACCCCGGGCTCGGTGGTCCACACCTCCAGAACTCGTCCTGAGCCACAGTATTAGTATGATCGTGTATTAGTATGATCATGTGTTAGTATGATCATGTATTAGTATGATTTAGTATGATCATGTATTAGTATGATCACAGTATTTAGTATGATCATGTATTAGTATGATCATGTATTAGTATGATCCTGTATTAGCATGATCATGTCTTAGTATGATCATGTATTAGCATGATCACATTATTTAGTATGATCATGTATTAGCATGATCACAGTATTTAGTACGATCATGTATTAGTATGATCATGTATTAGTAAGATCATGTATTAGTAAGATCATGTATAAGTATGATCATGTATTAGCATGAACACAGTATTTAGTATGATCATGTTTTAGCATTATCACAGTATTTAGTATGATCATGTATTAGCATTATCACAGTATTTAGTATGATCATGTTTTAGCATTATCACAGTATTTAGTATGATCATGTATTAGCATGATTACAGTATTTAGTATGATCATGTATTTAGTATAATCAAAGTATATCGCTTTTATACCTGATATCAACCGCGCCACTAGCGCCCGATATGAGCCCGTACTATCGAAAATAGTGTAGAGTTTGTAACTCAATTAGCGAATAAAGTGTTTCAGCTAAACCCATATAGATATTAAGACAAAGACTCACTCATTTCTATAATTGTCACATTCAGGTCAATTGAGAATGGGAACTCCAGTGAATAATGGTTCTTTTCCATGCACAAAACGTAGTAGTTTTTTTTTGGGAATAGTTTAAAATAAAACTTGAATTTTCAAAATTTTACGTTAGCTACACCTTGTCGATCTACAACAGAGTGATCTGGCCTTACAACCATGACTGATATAAACAAGTTAATATAAAAATGAGATCATTTTAAAAAAATAAATAAGGATAAATCAAGATTAAGAAAATATAGTCACTTCATAATAAATAAATACGGACAAGTCATCGTAACCTATAGTACTTTTAATTAATTTAGTTAATTCCCAATTATATATGCTTTTACACTTCAGATGTGTTATACTTCAATCGAAAAATAGATCCACAGAAAATAGTTTCCTGCTATATCCTTTTAATCCTCCAGACCTGAGGCAGGATGGGTGAAGCGAGCTGCAATCCTCAGCAATCCCCGCTCGGTGTTCCCCAACACGAAGCAGTGATCGTAGCCATCGCAATCCAGCCTCCCCAGGGCCTCCCCAATCTCCGTGGCTGTTCTCAGGTCAAATGGTGTTCCTTCCACTGAACGCTGTTCTCCTGCACACACAACACAGTCCACTGAACGCTGTTCTCCTGCACACACAACACAGTCTACTGAACGCTGNAAAGTTGGGATCATTAATATTTGACAAAATTTCCGATGGGGAGAATCGTATTTTCTCCTTAAACTGTTGAATATTGTCATCATTAATTAAGCGAACTTTTTTCAGAGGTGGAGCGAAAGAAAAACCGATTGTCATGAAATGTTTATTGTAGCGCCCATATGTACCTAGTATTCCGTACTATAGTTCCTACTAGTAAGTTACTTCGCTCTAGAACTAGTGACCATTGTTAGCATCGACTCGGCTCTTGTAAGTTCAAGACTTACAACTACTGTTCTCCTTGTAAGTATTCTGTAAATAGTTTCGTTATGTGTAAGACCTTCACATATGAATATGTTCTTATTATGTTACCGTTAACCTGTTTCATAGTAGTGTTATTTTGTTCCAGATGTTGCGTTCTTGTTGAATAAAGCTCTTGTTGAGTTATCTCTATCTCGGCTATCGCTTACAACAATTTATTCAACAAAACCAAATGGAGAAATTTCTGAATCCCTCCCGGCTGTGCATTGACCCAAGTTCGCCCACGGCTGCCAAAGAGTGGAGGCATTGGATAGCTACGTTTAATAACTTCATTGAAGAATGTGGAGATCATGCCCCTAACAAACTACGTACCTTGGTGAACTGCGTTTCGTCTGAAGTCTTCGAATGCGGCGTATAAAACTGCCAAATTATGTTTCTTTTGTGGTAACAAATATCACCGTCGTAGTAATTGCCCAGCTAAGGATGTCAAATGCAAAAACTGTAACAAAGTAGGACATTTCGCCAGAGTTTGTAAATCTAGGACTTCTATTGCTACAACAGCCATGTTTTATCGTGAGGATCGTACCGTCAATTCTCATGACACCCACAAAACGTTACCAATTGTATTGGCGCTAGGTGCGCCGTATCCTACTTGTTTGTCACGTGCAGCAACTACGGTAACGGTGAAGGGCAAGAAAATTGGTGCATTGGTAGATTCCTGTAGTTCAGATAGCTTCATTCGTGCAAATACTGCAAATATTCTCGGGCTCAAAGTCGTCTCTTGCCCCCAAGAGATCTCTATGGCAACAACGTCACTTAGTGTTAAGTCGCTAGGATATTGCTACCTCGATATAAATCTGGATGGACAACGCTACCCAGGTACGCGCCTGGGCGTTTTGAATGATTTGTGTTGTGAAATTTTATTGGGGCAGAACTTCCAGCAGCAACATAAGAGCGTTACATTTGTGTACGGAGGCGTTAANTTTCCACTCTCCCAAAGCGCCCTGTCAGCATTCGAAAACCTGAAGGCTGAACTAGCCAGCGCAACTCTAAGGTCAATTGACGAGGAATTGCCGTTTGTGGTGGAATGCGATGCTTCAGACGTTGCGGTGTCGGCAGTCTTGAACCAGGGCGGACGTCCAGTCGCCTTCATGTCAAGAACTCTACATGGGAGTGAATTGCACTACCCAGCAGTCAAGAAGGAAGCAACGGCCATTGTGGAAGCGGTGCGTAAATGGAGCCATCTTCTGGCTAGACGCCCATTCACATTGATCACGGATCAACGTTCAGTTGCCTTCATGTTGGATAGAAGGAAAAGGACCAAGATAAAGAACAACAAGATACAATTGTGGAGATTAGAGCTTGCATCATTCAGCTACTCGATGAAATATCGTCCAGGGAAGGACAATGTAACGGCAGATGCGCTAACAAGGGCCTTTTGCTGTTCCGCCCCCTCGTCCTCAACGCTCGTTGAAATTCATAACGGACTTAGTCATCCAGGGGTTAGACGACTGCTACACTTCGTTAGACTGAAGAACCTCCCGTTCTCAACTGAAGATGTAAAACGTACATGTGCTTCATGCAAAATTTGTGCTGAATTGAAACCTCGTTTCTTCAGTCCTCCAAATGGAACCCTCATAAAAGCCACCCAGCCAATGGAGCGCCTAAGCATCGACTTCAAGGGACCTCTTCCATCGGCTACGAAAAATGCGTACATCCTCACAATAGTGGATGAATATTCCCCTTCGCCTTCCCATGCCCAAATACTCAATGCTCCACGGTGATCAAATGTCTGGAAACCGTCTTCACCCTCTGTGGTATGCCTAACTACATTCATTCAGACAGAGGTTCTTCCTTCATGTCTTCGGAACTTAAAGAATACCTGTCGCAGAAAGGAGTGGCTACAAGTAGAACTACTCCTTATCATAGTATAGGCAACGCATAGTGCGAAAGGTATAATGGAATTATATGGAAGTCGGTACAACTTACATTGAAAACTTACCATTTGGCAGAGCATCAATGGGAAACGGCCCTGCCAATCGCATTGCACTCAATCCGTTCTTTGCTTTCAACTTCAACGAATGCCACACCACATGAACGGTTCTTTGCTTTCCACAGAAGATCATCACATGGAGTTTCGCTTCCATCCTGGTTAGGATCACCAGGCCCAGTTCTTCTTAGAAGATTCATTCGTCATTCTAAGCAAGATCCACTGGTTGACGAAGTGGAACTCTTGGATGTTAATCCAACATACGCTCACATTAGGCACCAAGACGGTCGAGAATCGACAGTTTCGGTTCGGGACTTGGCTCCATGTCCACAAAGTACACAGCCAGACTTGCAAGAACCCGAAACGTCGACAGAGAATGCTTCCCCAGAAGCGAACCGCATCAAGAGGGATTCTGAAGGAGAGGTGGTTCCAACTGTAACAGATTCAGTCGAAGGAAATGAACAATCAGTACCCTCGGTTACTTTAAGGAGATCTTCTCGTCCGTCCAAGCCTCCAAAGCGATACGGTTTTGAATAACTAGCTTCGTTGGCGGACGTATCTCCTGTTTCGTTTGCCTTTACTGTAGTTCGATAGTTCTCCTATGTATCCTGCTTCGCAATATGATCAATTCGTTCATGTGTCCATAATAAACCGACTACATTTGGCTTACATTTTTCAGGCGGGAAGAATGTCATAAAATTTCTGTTGTAACGCCCGCATGTACCTAGTATTCCGTACTATAGTTCCTATTAGTAAGTTACTTCGTTCTAGAACTAATGACAATTGTTAGCATTGACTCGGCTCTTGTACGTTCAAGACCTACAACTACTGTTCTCCTTGTAAGTATTCTGTAAATAGTTTCGTTATGTGTAAGACCTTCACATATGAATATATTCTTATTACGTTGCCGTTTTCCTGTTTTATAGTAGTTTTATTTTGTTCCAGGATGTTGCGTTCTTGTTGAATAAAGCTCATGTTGAGTTACCTCGGCTTTCGCTTACGACAGTTTCGCTATGTCTCCTTATGTCTCGCTAAGTCTCCATATGACTCCTTATGTCTCGCTATGTCTTGCTATGTCTCCTTATGTCTTGCTATGTCTCCTAATGTTTCGCTATTCCTCCTTATGTCTCCATATGTCTCCTTTTGTCTTGCTATGTCTCGCTATGTCTCCTTATGCCTCGCTATGTCTCCTTATGCCTCACTATGTCTCCTTATGCCTCGCTATGTCTCCTTATGCCTCGCTATGTCTCCTTATGTCTCGCTATGTCTCCATATGTCTCGCTCTATCGCCTTATGTCTCGCTATATCTTGCTATGTCCCCTCACGTTACGCTATGTCTCCTTATGTCTTGCTATGTCTCCTTATGTCTCGCAATGTCTCCTTATGTCTCGCTATGTTTCCATGTCTCGCTGTGTCCTTATGTCTCGCTGTCTCCTTATGTCTCGATATGTCTCCATATGTCTCGCCATGTCTTCTTATGTCTCGTTTTGTCTCCTTATGTCTCGCTATGTCTTCTTATGTGTGGCTATGTTGGATTACAATAGTCTGTATGAAATAAACTGTAGGAAGCCGTAAAGTACAAAACGGTGGTTCCGTTTTCGTGCGGGAAAACGTTCCCGTCGTTTAATTTAACGGTAAATGACCGGCCACTGTAACGCCGGTGGGAACGTTTTTTTTACGGTCGATTTGCTAACAGTGTAGATTGATTGGAAGAGAATTGATTTGCGCTATTCTTCTGTGTTATGCATCATATTCATGGAGTAAAAATAGTTATAGATTTATTAATTTTCTCGAGTATCTGCAATAATATATTCTTTACATTCGATGATGTCACTTATGTGCTCAAAAGTTGGTATAATATGCAGAAGTGTCAGGTTAAAAATAGGCTTCTTGAACAGTAGGTGCATGGGTTTGTTCATCATAGGCTAAATTCAAATTCACCTTGCTATACGGTATGTCAAGTTAGAGTCGACGCTCCTTTCGTTTCGACGTATCACATAGCAAACGTACGCGTGTATGTTCATCGACGCCATTTATAAAATGGAAGATGGTCAGGGTTCGTGCGTTTACCCTTCGCGTGTGCAACACGCACTTGATGCAAGCGTGTTGAAGGTAACGCAACGCAAGCATGTTGACGTACACGCCATGCAAGAGTGTTAAAACGCTCGCGTGTTGATAAGTTCGTACCCATGCACAATGCACATGCAGCGTCTCAACTCAAGGCAGGGGCTTGTCACGCTCTCGCTAAGAGTTCATGCCAGCTACTGAGCAGGGGAAGCCAAATGGTGGCCTGACCAGCCGCTGATTTCGTGTGTCATTTGACCCTTATATTTTCTACCATGGAACTACCAAAAATAGCACCTATTGGGCGGCTCATTAGGGGAGGCAGCTATTTCATATCTGATTCATCTCAAATCCGAGAGCGGCAACCGAAACCCGAAAGACAGCCGCGTCTAAATTTTGACAGGGTTGGACCAGGTATTGTGAGCATATGATGAAATTCGTTATTATGGCGGCGACGTTGCATTGTCCTTGCTCGGTGGTTCGCCTCCTGTGGCGCAATGGGGAGTCGCCCGGGGCCAGCAGCTGTTGGCCCCTGGAGCGGTAAAGGATCCACCAGGGGGTGGGTTGCAACGTGGGATCGAGCCGCAAGAAGAGATGCCCAACACCCCCTCGCTCAAAACAGAGGAAGATGGGACTAGCCGCCCCGGACCCCTCTTTAATAACTTTCAAGGCGAGGGCCCCTTGGGGGCCCTCATCGGTGCCTGCCGGACGGTGGCGAACCGTTTGGACAGGCTGGCAGCAGCCCTTAGGGTGATTGGACTCCGGTCCATTCACCCGCACCCCGGGCCGAGGAACTGGAGAGGGCGAAGGGGAGTGGGAGAGAGACGAAGAGAAGAGAGGAGGGAAAGGCGTCACGAGGGTCGGAGGAGGAGGAGGAGAGATCGAGAGAGAGGCTGAGATTGTGAATGGAGGTGTGGTTGGGAGGCAAAGGAGTGAGAGAGTGATTGTGACGTGGAAAGTGCAGAGGTTGTCAACGAGAGAGCATAATAGGAGGCGTTTGAGGAGAGTGATAGAGAAGATTGTGAGGAATGGGTGGAAGATTGTTTTGTTGAGTGAAATAAGTGCGGATGATGAGGGTGTGTTGTGGCTGGGAGAGGAAGAGGAAAGAGTGGTGGTGGTACATGGGAAGAAGTCGGCTGTGGTTTTGAGAAGTGAGGCTTTAGAGGTGTGGGTGAAAGATGGTTTGAGGAGAGAGTGACTGCTGTGGTGTTGGGAGGGTTGCGTCTGGTATCAGTGAATCAGCCTGTGTGGGGAACGAATGATGACGGAATGAAGAGGCACAGAAGAGCGGTTGAGAATCAAGTTGCGTGTGGTGGAAGTGAGAAATTGATTATAGGGGGAGATTTTAACTCGAATGTTGGCAGAGGGAATGAAAGGGAAGGGGTATGCGGAAGGTATAGAATAGAATAGAAGTGTCGGCGTTGAAGACATAGGCCCATGGCCTGTTGCCGATTCTTGAACTTTTCGTGACTTGATTCACAAGGGATCCGGCCTTTGGAACCCGATCTTTCCTTTCTGAGTGGAGGTGTGGTTCAGAGGTGATGTTGTGGCATCCTCTGATTGTGCGTAGAGCGGCGTTTTGTACTGTTTGTAGCTGGGAGGCGGTTGAAATTCGACTTCCATGGGTGTGACTGGTGTCCAGGCTGTGTAGGCATAATCGATGATTGGGCTGCCAATTACTAAGTAGGTTTGGAGGAGTGTTTCTTTGTTTTGTCTGTAAGTGGTTCCAGAGAGGGCTTTGAGGATGTTGTTGCATTGCGAAGCTTTGGAGGCGGTGCTTTTACGGTGGCGATGAAGATGAACATCGTGTCGAAGGTGAGGACGAGCATTTTTGGGTTGTGGTTGAGCGGCCGCTCTTGATTGTTGATTTCCACTTCTGGGTGGTGATTGTACTGAGTGGTGTGAGGTGTGATGAACGTGACTGTTGACTTGGTAGCTGAAATTTGGAGGTTGCGTTTGGTGAAGGTGGTCAGCTCCGGCAGGTAGTTGTTGAGTTGTTCGGTAAGTCGTACAGTGTCGGGTCTGGTTGTGTAGTTGGTGAAGTCGTCTGCATGAGATATGATTTTGGTGTTCGGCGGTTTGGTGGGGCTTTGGAATCT